GGGGGGGGGCAGGTGCAGGAAAACTCTGTTATGGATTTGTCACTGGGATAGTTCATCCCAGTCCCCCAGGCCAGCTGCTGGGGAGACCCTTCCTTGTGCTTTTTCCAGGTCCCCACCCCTTCTAGGCCATAACTTCGCAAGCTCCAGAGCAGAGAATTACCTGTCTCTGACTTGGGCTGGATTTGAGCTTTTGCCAAGTAACCCTCAGTGTCTGGAACTGGGGGTCTTACTGTGTCTCCAAAGAGCTACCACTTCTCTTCTCCCCCCCCAGTCTCCTCCTCTTGCCGAACCACACACACTGGCCATTGCCATCTTTGTTAAAGCTGATAAGAACATCTCCCTGAGGGTTGGCCAGCTTCCCTGAGCAAGGCGGAGGGCCATCCGGAGCCAGCAGGCCTGGCTGTGACTTGCCACCCCTGCTGCCTGCTCCAGAGGGGAGTTGGGAGTGAGGCCTTTGACAGTGGAGGTGGGATGGGCATAGCAGACGCCCTAGGGATGGCCTGAGGGGGCAGGGCCGGGGCCTCCCTGTGCCCGGCACTGCTGACCACTTCCATCACAAGAGCCTTTTGTTCCCCGAACAGGACACACTGAATAATAATTCTCTGGGCAAAAAGCACAGTTGGCAGGATCGGGTGTCTCGATCATCCTCACCCCTGAAGACAGGTAAGTCAGGGCCCTCTTCCTTACCTGGACCTCACCCTGCCCTGACTCAAACCCCACTGCAGAGAACAAACCCCACAGTCTCCAATGGGCTGAGAAGAGGTAAACTGCACATCCCACATCCCTGCACAAGCCCATTGGGGGCTAGATCAGTGGTGGCATGAGTGAGCTGACCGGCCCCAGAGCCTGCAAAGGGCCTGCGAAGGGAGGCTTTGTCTTGGTTTCTGTGTCACCAAGCTGAGAGTGGCAGGCACAGGTAGCTGGGAGTTGGGTGAGGGCCCCCTCCTTCACGAACCGCCTGCTCTCCAGGGGAGCAGACACCACCGCATGAACACATCTGCCTGAGCGATGAGCTGCCCCCCCAGAGCAGCCCCGCTCCCACCACGGATCGAGGCACCTCCACCGACAGCCCTTGCCGCCGCAGCACAGCCACCCAGATGGCACCTCCCGGTGGTCCTCCTGCTGCCCCACCTGGGGGTCGGGGCCACTCGCATCGAGACCGAATCCACTACCAGGCCGATGTGCGACTAGAGGCCACTGAGGAGATCTACCTGACCCCAGTACAGAGACCCCCAGACCCTGCAGAGCCCACCTCTGCCTTCCTGCCACCCACTGAGAGCCGGATGTCGGTCAGCTCTGATCCAGACCCTGCCGCCTACCCCTCCACAGCAGGGCAGCCGCACCCCTCCATCAGTGAAGAGGAGGAGGGCTTCGACTGCCTGTCATCCCCAGAGCGGGCTGAGCCCCTAGGCGGAGGGTGGCGGGGGAGTCTGGGGGAGCCGCCGCCACCTCCACGGGCCTCTCTGAGCTCGGACACCAGCGCCCTGTCCTATGACTCGGTCAAGTACACGCTGGTGGTGGATGAGCACGCGCAGCTGGAGCTGGTGAGCCTGCGCCCGTGCTTCGGAGACTACAGCGACGAGAGTGACTCGGCCACCGTCTACGACAACTGTGCCTCCGCCTCCTCGCCCTATGAGTCGGCCATTGGAGAGGAATATGAGGAGGCCCCCCGGCCCCAGCCCCCTGCCTGCCTCTCCGAGGACTCCACGCCTGACGAACCCGACGTCCATTTCTCCAAGAAGTTCCTGAACGTCTTCATGAGTGGCCGCTCCCGATCCTCTAGTGAGTCAACAGGAGAAAGCAGTTGGGGGCGTCTCTGGGGAGGGGGACAGAGCCAAAATGCAGAGTGTTCTGGGAGGTGGCCCCAGGCCCCATCTGGATAGGACTGAGGTGTCTACCTCCCCCGATATACTGGATCAGAGGTGCGACCCCCTCCTCTAGCCACACCCCCTCACCTGCAGGTGCAGAGTCCTTTGGGCTGTTCTCCTGCGTCATCAATGGGGAGGAGCAGGAGCAGACCCACCGGGCCATATTCAGGTAAGAGCCATGGACTGCCTGGGCCTGGTCAGGCAGCAGTTTGGGCCACACAGCACCCTCTGCTTGTCACCCCTACATGGCTTCAGCCTAACCCGTACCATGAGCATGCACCGATCCACTCAGCCCTGGGGGGATAGTGTCCACTTTCTAGGGACTCAGAGTATGGTGACAAAGTAGATGGCTAGACTGAGGGATCCCAGGACTAAGCACCTAGTCTGGTCGCAGGCAGGGTGCCCAGGAGGCTGCCTGCCCCCACCCCACCTGACCCTTCTCCGGACAAAAGCCTGCGCTTCCCACAACCTCTCCATTTTAGTGGGGTCTCCCGGCACCCTCCCTTGGCCTGTGCTTTCCTCAGATGCATATCTGCTTGACCTTGCCCTCCCCTGGGGTGATTACTTGGACAGGCACACAGGATGTGTTTGCAAATGTTTACTGAAATAACGCCGCTGCTGCTGTGGCTCCCAGACCCCAGAGCAGGCCTGTCTGGAAAGGCCTTGCTGCCGAGTTTCTCACATGTCCTTGCTGGGGACAGGTTTGTGCCTCGACACGAAGATGAACTTGAGCTAGAAGTGGATGACCCTCTGCTGGTGGAGCTCCAGGCCGAAGACTACTGGTACGAGGCCTACAACATGCGCACTGGTGCCCGGGGCGTCTTTCCCGCCTACTATGCCATCGAGGTCACCAAGGAGCCTGAGCACATGGCAGGTAGCGTTCCCTCCCTGGCCTGTGCCCCAGCCCCCACATCTGCCTGCCCCGACTCGCTGCAGGTGAGTGTGTGCTCCAGATCTCAGCCAGCCAAGCGGGGGGCTGAGTGGAGGTGATTTCAGGTCCTTTCCATGATTGAGCAAAGTGAGGCCTGGCCAAAGTGGGCAGCTGGGGATTATGGCTGTTCCCCGTCCCTCACACACCCTCCTGGGCTTGGCCGCTCAGCCCTCTCCTGCTGGTTCTGCTCCTCCTCACTTCATGCTTGCTTTCCAGCCCTGGCCAAAAACAGCGACTGGGTGGACCAGTTCTGGGTGAAATTCCTGGGCTCAGTCCAGGTTCCCTATCACAAGGGCAACGACGTCCTCTGTGCCGCTATGCAAAAGGTACCTGAGCCCTCTCCCTTCCCTTGGATGGGTCCCTGAGGCAGAGGGACACAGGTGTCTAGAAGCAGTAAAGGCCTCAGGCCCTGGCACAGGAGGGATCAGCAGAGGAACAGACAGCAGCTGATGTGTCTCTGTTTGTCACCTACAGATTGCCACCACCCGCCGGCTCACCGTGCACTTTAACCCACCCTCCAGCTGTGTCCTGGAGATCAGCGTGCGGGGCGTGAAGATAGGTGTCAAGGCCGATGACTCCCAGGAGGCCAAGGTGACTTCTCCCAACCCAGCCCCTTCCTTCCATGGCCCCCAGCTCTCCCCGAAGACTTGCCATGAAGAGGCCATCTCCTCTCATCCTCACCACAGGCTGGGTGACCACCCTCTTGCTTCTTTTCTCCCTCCTGTAGGGGAATAAATGTAGCCACTTTTTCCAGTTAAAAAACATCTCTTTCTGCGGATATCATCCGAAGAACAACAAGTAAGTGGGGGTGGGTCAGCAGTGGAGGCTGCACGGGTAGTCTGCAGCCATCCGGTGGCTGTGGGCAAGCCCCACCCCACATCCCAGCAGACCTGTCCCCGCAGGTACTTTGGTTTCATCACCAAGCACCCTGCCGACCACCGGTTTGCCTGCCACGTCTTTGTGTCTGAGGATTCCACCAAAGCCCTGGCCGAGTCTGTGGGGTATGTATGCATCCTGCCAAGCACAAAGCCCGAGGGAGCATGCCCAATCCCAGGCCCTGGGGCTACTTCCTCGGTTTCCCCTGCAGCTCTGGAGAACCATCACCAGCTCCCAGTGCAGTGGCCTGGAGGGAGGGTGGCAGGGCGGGCCTGAGGAGCAGCTTCTAAGCTTGGTAGCTGCTGAGCCATTTCTTCAACTGGCATCTTACTGGGAAATGCAATGGCAATTCCGTAGAGAACGGAGCCAAGTGGCCCTGGGCATAGAAACCAGAGCTGCACTCGGGCCCCAAGGCTCCAATGGGAAAACCCTGGGTGGGGATCCCGTTCCTCCCTGGCCAGTGGCAGTCTGAGCCACCTGTGTTTCCCTGGCTTCTAGGAGAGCATTCCAGCAGTTCTACAAGCAGTTTGTGGAGTACACGTGCCCCACAGAAGATATCTACCTGGAGTAGCCACACAGCCCCGCCCTCTGCGTCTCCCAGCCCTCAGGCCAGTGCCAGGACAGCTGGCTGCTGACAGGATGTGACACTGCTTGAGGAGGGGCACCTGCCACCACCAGGGGACAAGGAAGTGGGGACCATTGGCCCAGGGTGGGGGAGGGCGGGGACGATGGGGAGAGGCAAATGCAGTTTATTGTAATATATGGGATTACAGTCATCTATGGAGGGCAGAGTGGGCTGTCTGGGGATCAGGAGGGGGCAGGGCTGGGGGACAGACCTCTGGCAAAGAAGGATGTCCGTTCCAGGAGCACACGGCCCTGCCCCATCCTGGGCCTTACCTCCCCTGCCAGGGCTCAGGCACTCTGGCTCCTGCCTTGATGAAGCCTGTGCCCCAACCCCCACTAAAGAGCCCTGAGCTCAGGCTGAGCCCAGCCGCCTCCCAAGGACTTTCCAGTGAGGAAATGGCAACATGTGGAGGTGAAGTCCTGTTCTCGGCTCCGTCATCTGCAGGGCCTCTGGGTGGCTCCTGCCGCTGACCTCACCGGCATGCTGGCCTGTGGTAGGCCTAGGAACTCAGCGGGGAGGGGGAGCTGCCGCAAGGCCCTGTCCCGGCTGGAGAGGAAGGCTTCCTGACTGACCCAGGCCAACCCCATCTTGGTCCTGTCACCCTGGCCCCAACTATTAAAGTGCCATTTCCTGTCTGGACTGCAGTGGCTGTATCTGCGAGGAACCCTCCCGTGCCCGTCTCGCCCCCAGCCCAGGAAAGCCAAGCCTTTGCGACGCGGAATAGCTTTATGAGGGCCTGGGGTCAAAGGTGGGCATCGTCGTAATATTCGGCCATGTCGGGCCCATCCCTCTTGCGCTGCTGGGCCCGGGACAGGAGGGGTCGAGGCCCTCTTGGCCATGGGTGCTTGGGGCGGACGCCATAGTCTAAAGAGAGAAAAGAGGGCAAGGGTGGCCGCTGGCTCTGATGGAACTGAAGTTACCCTTGAACAGATGTGGTTTGGGATGACAAATCCCTGAAAGCTGGGCCTGGGCACTCTTAGGGGGTCTCCACTGTCAGGGAGGGGCAGAGGAAGGGGAAGAGGGAGATACTACCATCCACCAGGCCGGAAAATGGCTGTGAGAGTTCCAAGGGGGCAGAGAACGCCTCGGGAACAGACCGTTGAGACCTGTGGGAGATGTTGGGGTGCTCAGCCCTGGCCCTGAAGGCCACTGGCACCTCCTTGTGAATGGGGAGATGGCCCAGTGTGGGGGCAGTGGGCAAGCCCTCCCACATCCAGGGTAATAGGGCCAGCCCCCACTCCAGGGAGGGGAGGGCAGCACCTTTGCTGCCCAGCCCCCGGTGCCCTGCCCTTCTGCCCCAGGAGGCACCTCAGAGGCTGGGAGGGAAGCAGTGCCGCTGCCAGGAGGAGGTGGAGGAGGAAGAGGCTGAGCCCAGCCCTGGGGTGCAGAGCCCCCAGCATGGTGAGAACCATCTTCTACACAGGTCCTGGCTCCTGTTGTCCCTCTCCTGGCAGGTCGGAACCTGCTGCCAGCTCCCAGGGCCACCTCACAAAGGGCCTTCATTCCAGGCCTGTGTCAGCACAGGCTCCGGGGTAGGGCCTGGGACTTCCGCCCTGAGGCTTTTGTTCTTATCGATGCCGTTGGCTAATAGGTGCTAACTGTCGCTGCCCAGGGAATAAGGGCACACACTGCGGAGTCAGATCTCAGCTCAGGTCCTGACCTTGCCTCTTGCTAGCTGCACAAGTCACTCCATCTGTGTGTGCCTAAGCTCACTCATCTGGGAAGTAAAGTCCATAACACACCCGACCGTCTGGCATATGGTAGGCCCTCCAAAGAGGGCAGGGGATCCTTACCACTGAAGAGCTCCAGCCATTCCCACAGACTCCCACCCCACCCCTGCTGGCATGGCAAGAGCCCAGGGCAGGTCCTGACAGCTGAGAAGCCCAGAGTGGGTCTCTCAACCCTGCCCGGCTTAGGGTCCCCGTGTCCCGCTGTCTCAGGGCCTCTCCCTCTCCACTCCCTGCAGCTTAAAGCAGCCTGACACAGGATGGAGGGCTTCCAGGCATGGTGGCAGAGCTCTGGAGCCGCCCCTGGAATGCAGGCTTCGGGAAGGCAGGGAGGGCTTGGTTCACTGGACTCTGCAGCCTGGGCAGTGCTCAGTGACCAAGTGCAGCTCGACCCTGCGCTGGACACCCTTCCCTCGTAGGCCTGGGCTCAGCTGCAGGCGCCACTGGAAGGCCTCTGGCTGGTTCCTGGCTCTCCGCTCAGCAGCCAGGCCCAGCCCACTTATGCGTGCAGTGCAAACCTGGTTCACCAGAACCACAAAAAGCCTTCAAAACGAAACCTCTGGCCCCAGCCAAATCTGTCGTATCAGAACCTGAGGTCCGAGCCCATGGCTCTGAAGCTTCCCTAACACAGTTGCTTGAGATGGCCAACTGCTGACTGGCCCAGCCACTCTCCTCTGACCACTGAGGGGCCCGGGGTGGGGGGGGGGGGGAGTCCCTTGTGTCCAACCCTGGCTCCTCCAGTGGCCCCATTCATGCTCCTGGTCCTAACTACCCTAGAGGCTAAGTTCTGGGGGTTCCTTCAGCCCTGTCACCCTCTGCATGTTACACCTGTACTCACTTCCCAGTGGTTAGTCACGTCCCTTTGTAAGTCCTAAGACATGTCCCCCACAAGCCTGCCTCAGCATCCTGTGTCCACCAAGGCTCGCCCTGCCAGGAACCTGGAATTCTTTCTGCTCTGTCTGACCCCAAAGCCCCTTGTCCTTCCTGCTCCTCAACTCCTAGACACCACCCTCTTCCTCCATGCCAGTCCCCAAGACTAGCTGGGGTTACCCGTAATCTCTGCTGCCACTGCCATTGCCCCTCTCACTGCTACAGACCCCCACCTCCAATGTCACCACCCCATCCTTCCACCTCTGCCCACCAAAGCATCCTCCACAAGGCTGCTGGAGTATTTACAAACACAGGTTCCTCCCGACCTGCCAGACCAGGTCCGAGTTTCTCCCCTGGGTATGTGATGCCATGTTCATTGTGGCCCTGACCTTCCCCTCCAGCCTCCAGCCCCCAGCCCCACCTCCCATGGCTCCACACAGCTGTGACCCTGGGCAGGCTGCCTATGGAAAAACCGAACAGTTCTACCCATTTCAAGCCTGCGTGAGTCAAGGCTTCACCAGTGAAGCCTGATGAAACCCCTCACCTCTGGCAGGCAGTCACCACTACCAGGCCACGCCCAAGCTAGGCCCTATTCTGGACACACCCCCTCCTGCCACGCCCCCAGTGTGGCACCTGCATCCACAAGCCTGTCTCCTCTGCAAGTGAGTGGGAGGCGGCCATCAGGGAACTGTGCTTCACTGCAGGTTTCTGAGGGGAATATGGTGCAAGCCTGCTATGGGGCATACACCCAGAAATGCCTGATACACTAAGCTGAAGTCCGGGGGAGCCAGGGCAGCCCCTTCCCCTGCCTGTGGGCGAGGACCTAGGGGGTGTTCCTCAGAGACACCTGGGCAAAGCAGTATCTAGGAGTGTCTGAGGCATGGAAGACCCGGGTGCAGATGGAGCCCTCTCTATGGGTTTGAAACTCTGGCAGGAGTGGCTGGCTCTTCACAGGGCCAGTGACTGAAGACAGGTTAAGGTCAGGGAGAGAAAGACTAGCCCTTGGCCCACTCTGTCCAGGCCATCCCAGCATAGCAGCCTGCATGGCTCCAGGTGGACCGGGGCTCTGAAACCGGCAGGGTGAGTGTGGGGAACTGCAGCTCATACCCGGTGAACTGGCCTGGCTTTCTCCCCACTCCCTCCCTAGTATCAGCCAGTGCTGGACATTCTCCCCCTAAGGGAGAAAGCCTTTTACTCTCAACCGAGGATGAGGGCTTAAGGTCCCACTTTGTGTGGGAGCTGGGCTCACTGTTTACAAGGCTCTGTCGCAGGGAGGCTTGCAATGCCATGGCCTGGGGTGCCAGAGCCCTGCAGAGAAGGGGCATATGGGGGCCTTGGCCAGAAGACATGCTGGGCAGCGGTCAGCCCTCACCCAGGTTCAGGCTTCCTGTCCCACCAGGGCCAGCAAGAGCACAGCAGCATTCACTCCTTTGGCCACCAGAGCCAGCGGCTTCCCATGCGCCATGAAGTGAAGTCACCGCTTTCTGTGGGAGAGGAGCCTGGATCCCACTCCTAGTGGAGGCTTCTTGGCCCAGCAGTGACAAGGTGTGGGCTGCAGTGGTGTCGTCACAGGAGGGCGCAGTCGAGGGGGTCTTGGGAGGAGTGTTGGTGGCAACCAAGGCTGTGTGCCAGGCCTGGTCAGTGGGCACGGAGAGGCCACACACATGCTGGGACGCTGCCGGAGTCAGTTTTATTAGGGAAGGGGGGCCCCCTGCCTCGCTCCTCCCCACATCTTGCTTCCGGGAGGTCTGTCAGCCCCAATTGTAGAAGTAGATTTTCTGCCAGGTGGGCAAGTAATCCATAAGCGGCCCTGCAGTGGGAGAGGGACACATCAGGGCAGGCCAGAACCCAATCTGCACTGTGGCACCACATACAGCACCTCACACCTGCAGCCCAGGAGCCCCACTGGCCCCCGCCCCACCTCTAGGGAGGCAGCATCGCAGGGGACTCTGGCCCCATTTATAGACGAGGACCCTCAGGCCCAAAGAAGCTGATCCAGGGGAGGCACTGAGGGGTCTGAGTCAGTTACCAAGTCACCCAACTCAAGCCCAGGGGCCTTCTGTTGAGGGAGGATCTCAGCAGCCTGGTGGGCCCTTTCTCTGCCATTGAAAACCCCCACCAGATGAGATGGCCCCTTATCGCTCCAGGAAACTGGGACCAGAAAAAGGCTGGCAGCTGATGTGGTCTAACAGTGCCCCCCACCACAGTACACCCTCCTTCCAGCCACCCTGGCTCATCTGGTCGCCCTGGCCTATGCCCAGGGGTGGTCCCACCCAGTCCTGACTTCCTGACCTCCTCTCCTGACTGTGCCAAGAATCAAACTGCAAGGAGAGAGAAGTCAGGGAGATGCGGCACGCATGTGACTCCCAACGCGACAGTCATCATGTCCCGCCCCTGCTTACTTGTGACCAGGCCAAGGCCAGGGACGTGGTCAGCCAGCAGCTGGAGCAGGAAGAGAATCCTGGCCCTGGGGGAGGCAATAAATGGGGAGCATGCTGAGTAGGGGGGTCCCTGCAAACCAGGAGGCCCAGAGGCCTTTGCTGACGACCATAGTGAACGCAGAGCTTTCCAGAAGATAAAGGTGACTTTCTCAGGAGCCAGGGCAGAGCCCAGTACACAAGACAAGACCTCTGGGGTTGGCTCTGCCTCCACCCTCCACCAGTTCAGCTTTGGGGTGGCACTAACCCATAACACCTCCTCCAATTCCTCTTTCCCTTTTCCCTCCCACCGACATCCAACACCAAAGGCCTCTAGAGGGTCACATGTGGAGCAGTGCCCAGCCGGTACAGTAGAGGGTTCAGAGAGGACCTCACCCTGCCCTCAGGAAGCCCCCAGTCTGGCAGAAGCGCTGGCCTGCAGAGAAACCTCACAAGCCACCAATGAGAGTAGTCAGGGCCCCAGGAGGGAACACAGTGCTGAGGAGGGCTCGTTTTGGTTGAGGGGAAGGGGCAAGGGCCAAGGCCCTGATTTTGAATAGCTGAGGGTTTTTCACAGGGAAACTCAGGTGAGATGAGGATGTGGATAATGCATAGCACTACATGCTTACTATACCCCACGCACTGCCATAAGCATTAGTCACTGAACCCCTACAAAGTGGGAACTGTCACCATCCCCCTCTTACAGGTGAGGAAACGAGGCACAGGGGTATCAAATAACTTGCCCAAGGCCACACATCTGGAAAGCGGCCTGGCTCTTTATGCGTCTGTCTGGGCAGTAAGAGGAAGGCTGGCTGGGTGCAGTGGCTCACGCCTATAATCCCAGCACTTTAGGAGACCAAGGCAGGCCTTTGTTTCCCCAAATGACAGGGGGCAGGGTCCAGAGAGGTGCAAGGGCAGAGTCCAGATGGAGCAGCCTTCCATTTTTCTTTTTTTTTTTTTTGAGATGGAGTCTTGCTCTGTCACCCAGGCTAGAGTGTAATGGCGTGATCTTAGCTCACTGCGACCTCCGCCTCCTGGGTTCAAGTGATTCTCCTGCCTCAGCCTCCCGAGTAGCTGGGACTACAGGCATTCGCCAACACACCTGGCTAATTTTTGTATTTTTAGTAGAGACTGAGTCTCACTGTGTTGCCCAGGCTGGTCTCAAACTCCTTGCCTCAAGCAATCCTCCCACCTCAGCCTCCCAAAGTGTTGGGATTACAGGTGTGAAGCATAACACCCAGCTAAACTATGCATTTTTTGTTTGTTTGTTTTTCTTTTCTTTTTTTTTTTTGAGACTGAGTTTCGCTCTCGTTACCCAGGCTGGAGTGCAATGGCGCGATCTCGGCTCACCGCAACCTCCGCCTCCTGGGTTCAGGCAATTCTCCTGCCTCAGCCTCCTGAGTAGCTGGAACTACTGGTGCACATCACCATGTCTGCCTAATTTATTATTATTTTTTTTTTAATTAAAAAATTTTTTTTTTTTTGAGACGGAGTTTTTGCTCTTGTTACCCAGGCTAGAGTGCAATGGCGCAATCTCGGCTCATCGCAACCTCCGCCTCCTGGGTTCAGGCAATTCTCCTGCCTCAGCCTCCTGAGTTACTGGGATTACAGGCACGCGCCACCATGCCCAGCTAATTTTTTGTATTTTTAGTAGAGATGGGGTTTCACCATGTTGGCCAGAGTGGTCTCGATCTCTGCACCTCATGATCCACCCGCCTCCGCCTCCCAAAGTGCTGGGATTACAGGCGTGAGCCACCACGCCCAGCCTATTTTAATTTTTTTGTAGAGATGGGCTGCCCAGGCTGGTCTCAAACTCCTAGCCTCAAGCAAACCTCCTGCCTTGGCCTCCCAAAGTGCTAGGAATATAGGTGTGAGCCACTGCTGCCCAGCCTATGCCAGCTTTCAAGCAGTTACTAGGTCCTAGACAAAGGGGGTCCCAGGAGCCTTGTCTATCTCACAGTCCCAGCTGCTGCATAGGGTTCCATCAGACTGCAGTCTAACCTCACACAGTCACGGTGGCAGGCCTGTGGAAGAACTGGTCCCAAGCTGCTCCTTGTTCAACCCAGCAGGCCTCCCCAAGGCTGGGAGCTCTGGACCCTCACAGGCGACTGGAGGCTGGGCCAGGCAGGGAAGACCAGGGGAGACTATGCAGCTGGGATCTGGCTCTACCGCTGGCTAACTGGGTAGCTTTGTTTAAGTTGCCCATTGTTTTTGAACTTCCAGTGCCTCCTCTGAGAAGTGAGGATAAGCCAAACTATTTGGCAGGAAGAAGAGGAAATGAACTAGAGGTCATTGGGCATGCGCACCTGCCGCCGTCCCTGTGGGCCGCCCTGCAATGCCCTCACCTGGCCCTCAGTGCCTCTCCTGCCAACCGTGTTTAAGTGCATGCTCGTGTGGTCTGATGGCCCAGAGAGCTCTGCAGGTGGGGCTGGGCTGGCATCTGGTGACTGCCACCCAGACAGCACACAGCAGGTGCTCAGTGAACCCTGGACAAGGCACTGGGGAACGAAAGTGCCAACAGGGACCAGAACACCAGTGCCCACTTGCCAGCCCTCTCCCTGGCTGAGGGTGGGCCTGGCCATTCTGGGAGGGGTTGGGTGCTTACTCAGAGAAGCGGTCATAGAACGGAGAGCGGAGCAGGTAGTACAGCAGCAGGATGGTCCGGCGCCGCAGCTCCCGCCGCTCCCTCCGGGTCAGGCCCTTCCTGTCACTCAGGAGGCTCAGGCTGGGGGGCAGGGAGGACAAGGTCAGGGCCAGGGTCATGATCTGGGCCCACAGAAGGGGAGGAGTCACAGGCTGTGTGTGCAGAGGGGTAGAAACAGGAGGGGCAAGGGCTGCTGCCGTCCCACCTAGGTGGTGCCAGGATTGTAGCAGAAAGCCTAGTGGAGAGTGGAGCCCTGGGCAGGCCCAGGCTCACCTGGTCACGTCCACAACACCAGCCAGGAGCCAAGGTTTCCATGACCTCTGACCCCATAGGCCCAGGCTGAGCACTGACGGCCAAGGCGTCAAGGATGTCTCCGGCACAGGGGCGCAGCTCAGCGCACTCCCCACTCAATCCCCAGCCCGCAGTGCCAGCCCTATCCTGCCCCGCGCTAAGGATACAGTGCAGCAGTGGCCGGGCAATGTACAAGGACTCTGCGATGGTCTCCTGCAGCCCCAGGGGGGTGGGGGTCGCACTCAGCTCCTCAGGGTGCTGCTGCTGCCATCCCTCCCGCTGCTGGGGGGCTCCCCAGTGCCTGGAGTGCAGGGACGGTGCTAGAACACAAGGGACGCAGATGAGTGAGCCAGGCCCGAGCTGAGGTAGGGGAAAGTGGCCGCTGACTGAAGCCAGTCCCATAGGCCCAGGCAAACCACTTCCTCCACTTACTGTTCTGGAGGGTTCGTACCACCCGGTTTGACCGCTTCCCCACGTAGGAGTGCTCGTGGCTGCCAGGGCTGTGGTCACCATCTAGCAGGGATAGACAGAAGGCCATACCGTCAGAGGGACATGCTTCCAGTAGACCCTGCAAGGAACATGCATTCAGTGAGTGCTCAGGAGCTAAGGGGAGAATGGATCCCCTTGTACTGTGGCGGCAGCTGAGTGAAGGGAACTACAACCCAGGCGGTAGCTCAGCACGAGGCCCGTCCAGAGGGGGAAGCAGCCTGCAGCCCGCCCTGGCCTGAGGAAAGCTCATCATAGCTATGGCTAGAGCCAGCCTCCTGGAACCCGTGGACAGGCAAGGTAGGGAGGGCCCAGTCTGACCACATCTATGGGGAACACAGCACCAGAGGGGCCATCTTCTCTCAATCCTTTGCTTTCAAAGCAATCATGATGAGAAGCAATGAACCACCCCTACTCAGTGTTCAGAGAGTGAGGCCCAGAGGCTGATGGGATGGGCCCCAAGCCCTGAAGGGACAGATGTGCCAGGTGCCCTGCCTCTAGAGGCTGTGGCTCTGGATACAGAACCAGCCCCAGAGACGAGGTTGGCAGGATCTCATCTGTTCCCTCTTCCTGCAGACTACAAAAATTATTGACTCTGACCATCACAAGTCCTGAGTTTGTATTCTGATTTCGTCCCTAGCCACAGCTTTGTCCTCTCTGTTGAAAACAGGCAACAAGAACACAGAGTTGATGGGAACAGGTGTGCTCCATAAACAGATACTACTGTATTCATGCTGATCAGATCTAAATCCTCAAACTAGTCCCTCGGCCCATTCTGCTCCAGGGCTTGGGGGAGCAGCTCACCCGGGGGCTGTGCCTGGGTCTCTCTGTCCAGTGGAACGATGGGGGGTGAGGTCTGGAGGCCAGCCTTGAACCAAAGCAGCAGAAGCATCCGCAGTACAGCCCTGGGTCGGGAAGGATGTCAGGGCTGTAGGGAGGCAGCTACCCACAGGAGGTTGGCGTTGCTCTGCTGAGCACCATCTGTGTAGCTGGCCTGCGTCACCCCCACCCAGGTCACCCAGGTCATCCCTGCCACAGTCCCAACCTACTTGGCCAGCTGGATGAGGGCGATGACAAGCCAACGGCCCACTTCACCCCACACCTTGGCAGCTCCCATCTCCATGAACACCTCCACGCACTCCAGCACACTCAGCCATGTCAGCAGCTTCTGCTGGGACAGTGACTGCAAGAACCCCAGGCCAAGAAGTCAGGGGTTTCCCCCTAGTCCCAGGCCCTTCTCTAGTAGGGAGCTCCTCTGACAAGCGAAGTGGACCTTCCCCTTTCCAAGCCTAAGGGTGTAGGTGTGAGTTCAAACACCAACTCCATTAACAGTATTAACAGGCTGGGGATCTGAAACGGCTGACTGCGTCTCTGAAGCTCAGTCTCTTCACCTGAGATGGGAATACTAACACTTTACAGCTCACCTAATGAGATGGTTTGAGGCTCAGACGGGCATAGGCGTGTCTCATGCTCCAGGAGACATGTGCTGCACGCTAGTTGCTACTATTTCATTCCTGAGTCTCCGTGCTTCCCACCCTGTTCCTGGTAGAATTCTCACCACAGGCAACTTTTTCCGAAGCTCCTTCCGTAGGATCCCGTCATTGAGCAGCACAAGCAGGTTAGAGGCAGAGTACACTGAGGGGTAGAATGTGGCCTTGAGAGGCTGGCTCTGCAGCCTCCACACCTCTTACCTTCTCCCCAGAGCTGTAGGGATCACCTATAACCTGCTCTGCTCAGACACCAACAGACTATGTGGAAACCAACCTGTCTCTCCACCTACTTCTCAGCACTCCACTCTCCCCAACATGATCTCACAAGGGTGGCTGGACCAAGACAGGATGGGTCAATCTCAGTGACAAGCCAGCTGTTGCCCAGCTGAACAGTACTGGTCACCCAGCTGCTCACAACTACCCATTGTTCTCTGAACAGCCACAGATATCCATTCCCACCTCCTGGCCTTTTCTCTCTCAGCAGCCTGTCCCTGAGGGTCTATTCCACCACTACTTTTCTTTTTTTCTTTTTTTTGAGTTGGAGTTTCGCTCTTGTTGCCCAGGCTGGAGTGCATTGGCACAATCTTGGCTCATTGCAACCTCCACCTCCCAGGTTCAACTGAGTCTCCTGCCTCAGCCTCTTGAGTGGCTGGCACTATAGGCACCTGCCACCATGCCTGGCTAATTTTTGTATTTTTAGTAGAAATGGGGTTTCACCATGTTGGCCAGGCTGGTCTCGAACTCCTGACCTCAGGTGATCCACCCACCTTGGCCTCCCAAAGTGCTGGGATTACAGGCATGAACCACTAAAACTGGCCTCATCTCTGCTTTTCAAAACCCAGCTCATTCTTTCAGGACTGTAACAGCAGTCACTGGGGTAGTTACAACACTCTTGAGGTAGTTACAATCTGAGAATCCTGGAATCTGGGAGATCTAGACTTGAATCTTGGTTCTGGGATCATCAATGATTGTTCTCTAACCTCAATGAACTTCTATTCCTTCAAATGGAGAGTAAGGAAAATAACAGTACCACTTAATATGACTGTAGAGAGGACTAACTAGCAAAGGTAGGAAAGGCACTTAGCCCAGCGCCTAACTCAGATAAGATTCCCAGACATTTCTCGACTTAGGGACATGGAGGGCCCAGAACAGTGGGCAACAGACCTTTGTCCGATTCAGTCACAGCACAAGGTGTCTAACGGGCAGCCCAGGGCCTCGAGCTGGGGTGTTCACTGGGCCCAGACAGCCGATCCCCCATTCCCCAACCCCAGAGCCCTGCTCACCCAGCTCTGACAGCTCGTGCGAATCGGCGAATCGACCTGGAGAGAGGGTACAGAAGGAGGTGTGAGTGAGCATTTGCCTCACCTTTCGTCTTCAGCTCCCGGACGTACCCTCCCTACGCCCTTTGGGAACCTGGACGAGTCTTCTCAAGCACAGCGATCACTAGCCTGACTCCGCAGGGAAGGGGGCCACTGGGGTCATAGGTCAGGGCCCAGAAGGAACAGATCAAAGGTCAGGGTGGCACCTGCCAGCAGGTAACTGAGGCCCCGCACTGCCGTCTCCAGCTGGGCCGTGGCGGCCGGGTGACGAGTCACGTACTCCTGGTAGCGGAGGCCCAGGAGCCGCAGCTTCTCCATCCTGCCCTCGGCACCGACAGACCAACCGAAGGACTGGACGACTGGCTGCGGCGCCCTGCTTCCTGCGCCCTCCTTCCTTCTTCCGGCCTTAGGCCCGCCTCCCGGTTGCTTAACTTCCGCGGGCCAGAAGGCTGGTGACTTGAAGAGCCAGTGAACCACACTTCACCCCATATCTTGAACCACTTCCCACTCGTTAGCGCTTAGCAACTGAGGGCCCAAACCCGCCCCCCTACTCCCTCAAGTCATTGGTTAGCACGCTCTCCGCCCCTGAGCCACCTAGCGCGGTCGGCACCCAGCTCTTCCGCTGACCCGGTTGGTGGCCCTTGCGCCTGCGCAGTTAACCATCTAGGAAAGCTGGGCGGCAGTCAGAGCAGTTCATTCTAGAGTTGGGAGCTGGAGCCCCGAGTCTTTCCAATAGAACGCAGAGAGACTCGAACGGCAGGGCCGGATTTTAAAGGACTGGGAGATTGCGGGTTCTTGAAAAAAGGGGTTTTGATCAGATGTGGGGAGGGACGGGGCGTCTAAATACAGTCGGACTGTGTCTCAGCAGGCGCGCGTTCGGCCAGTATCCCCATCTCCGTTCCCCCAACAAAGGTAGTGCTGGAGAAATTGAGGCAACAAAGGTAGTGCTGGAGAAATTGAGGTCCAGCTCTCCAGTGCCGTCTCGAACCCCTAAACAGCACAGTTCCGGCTTTGGCCTCAGCTCCCTTAGGGACTGTGCTCCCCAAGGGCGCGCGCCTGCACTCCCAGCTACGCGAAGAAAGCCCTGGCCCTGGCTTCTTTCAACTCCTTGGGCACGAGTGTCCTTTCTCTGGGTCTCGGATTTCCCTATCTGTAAAATGGTTTGAAGGCAGACTTGATCCTTGAACTCAGAATCGATCTCAGATAGCTTTCCGGCCCTCGGACGCACCTCGCAGTCCTCGGCTTTGCCCCAGGGAAGGCGGCGACCCCTGGGGAAATCCCTTCCTAAATGGAGCCGCCTCCCTGGAAAGGGTGGCACCGGGAGAGCTGCGGCGAGTGGTGGAGGGTACGGGCACTCTGGGAAGGCAGCCGCTGATTGGCTGCGGCGAAAGGGGCGTGGCATGGGTGGAGCCGTGGGTCAGTGCTGAGGGGAGCGGCACAGCGGATTTATTGGTACCCTGAGAATAGTAATACATTATTTTATCTAATCCTCTCCACCAGATATCTCCAGATGAAGAAAGCATCCACTTAAGAACGCCCAGCTAAAATTTGAGTGCTGATCTTTTCTGACCTCAGAGATTAGGCGGTTTCTTATTTATTTATTCGTTTTTTTAACTTTTATTTTTAGAGAGCGGGTCTAAGCATCACAGCTCACCAGGAAACCACAACCTTCCTTCCACTCCCTCACCCCACCCTACACTACAGCTTAGTTTTCTTCTCTATCAGGTGGGAGACTAGAGCTGCCCGCTCACATCAAAGAATGAAGACCCAGGGAAAGGTGACCAGGGGCCTGAGGAGAGGCAGAGGTCTTGAAGAACAGAGGAGGTGGTCATGGGCATCATCGACATCATTTCTGGCCACCTTTGGGTGCCAGGCTCCCTTGCCCTCCTCCCAGGAACCCCATCAGGTTGCTAGGAACTGTTCACAGCTGGGAAATTAGAGGCCCAATAAGGAGGGGAAAAGGATTTGTCCTACATGGCACAACAAGGCACTGGCCAAACAGGCCACCGCGCGGGTCTCTGGTGGCTGTGCCCTCTCTCCTACAGCCCACAAGAGCTCGGATTTCCCTATCTGTAAAATGGTTTGAGGGCAGACTTGATCCTTGAACTCAGAATCGATCTCGGACACACCTCGCAGTCCTGGGCTTTGCCCCAGGGAAGGGGGCGACCCCTGGGGAAATCCCTTTCTAAATGGATGCATGTTGAGGCTCCTTGGTCATGAGGCAAGTTAGCAACTGGGATTAGGACCTGGGCTCAGGGTCCTCGAGGTGAGGCTCCTTCTCCCTTCCTCTGCTCCACTGTCTTGTTTTTCTTTATATATATATATATTTAAATTTTTTTTTCTTTTCCTTTTAGTTGCATTTATTTTAAGGCTGAATTTACTCCCGTGCCATAAGTTTTTGCTTCTTCAGTTTCTTCTGGGATATCTTCTGGGCAACCTCCTCTTCTGGTTTAGGAACAATCTGTTCCTTTTCAGTAAGGATCATCTCAATGTGGCAGGGAGAACTCATGTATGGGTTAATTCGACTATGAGCTCTGTAGGTCCGGCGGTGCATATTGGGTGCTTTGTTCACTGGGATATGCTCAATGACCAGAGAATCTACATCTAAACCCTTAAGTTCAGCATTACTCTCTGCATTTTTAAGCATGTGCAGCAAAAATTCAGCACTCTTTGGGCCACCGACCTTGTGTCCGGCCCCACTGCTTGGCCTGGGCACACCTGCCAACTCCACCATTGTAACGTCGGAATGGTACACACTGTTTCTGTAAAGTGACATCTTTCAGCTACTTCGTGGCTTTTCGTATATGCATACCCTTGATGGCCTGGGCAGTTTCACGTGTGTTCTTAAAGTGAACGCGAAGATTGGAACCTCTTGATTTGCATGACTTTGTGGGGTTCTCCGGATCAAGTGAATAGCGAACCATTTTCACAGATTACCTCAGGCTGCTTGGGGAAAAAGGAATTTTTTTTTTTTTCTTTTTAATAAAGACAGGGTTTCACCATGTTGGTCAGGCTGGTCTTGAACTCCCGACCTCAGATGATCCACCTGCTGTGGCCTCCAAAGTGCTTGGATTACAGGCGTAAGCCACCACACCCATCCTTTTTTTTTTTTCCTTATTTATTTTTTTTTTATTTTGTTTGTTTGTTTTTGAGATGGACATGCACTGTGTCACCCAGGCTGGTGTGCAGTGGTGCAATCTCAGCTCACTGCAACCTCTGCCTCCTGGGTTCAAGCGATTTTCCTGCCTCAGCCTCCTGAGTAGCTGGGATTACAGGTAAACACCACCATGCCCGACTAATTCCTGTATCTTTAGTAGAGACAAGGTTTCGCCATGTTGGCCAGGCTGGTCTTGAAACTTCTAACCTCAGGTGATCTACCTGCCTCAGCCTCCAAAAGTGCTGGGATTATAGGTGTGAGCCACCTCGTCCTGCTGGGCTCTGTGGGGCCCCACCATCTTAATGAACCTGTTCACCAAACCTCCAGGTTGGCCACTCCTCCAGCCTTCCCTCTGCAGCTGTGGAGAGAATGAGGCGGGAGAGCGTGAGGTTCAGCACTCCTTGGGCTGGAGGTCCTATATTTCTGAAGAGGAGAGCAAAGTGTGGAAGGGGGAGGGGCAGACTTTCCAGGACAGAATACAAAGGGGCTGGGGCTGGAACCAGTTTCTCCTCCCTCCCTGCAGGACTGGAGCATGGGCCCAGCCAGGCTGGCAGCAGCAGGGCTGCCTGAATTTCCTCTCTAGATCCCAGGCCTGATTAGGCCCAGAGACAAAGAGTTGCCATATGTCCGGGAGGCTCCTAGGGGAGCCCCTCCCCTGCTCCCTGGCCCCCGGCCTGGACTTGGCCATCTTGTTGGGCTGGAAGGACTTTTAAGGGGCAGGTTGAGCTGTATCCTCTCTCCAACAGTTTGCCCCAAGTCACAGGGGAAGAGAGGTGGAGCAGTCCAGCAGGTACAGATGATAGTATCAGAGGCCGAGAGGAGGCCTCACTGGTCTAAAGTCACACAGACAAGGTTCCAGTCCTGTGAGCAGCTTACATGCCCCCAGAACAGCACCTTGGGGCCTATCGGGCATCTCAGTACTTCAGTTTCCCTGAGTGATGAGGTTGACCCAGAAGAGGGGCAAGCATCATGAGGGACCACAGTGAGATCTGCAGACCCTGCTTCCTGCACTAACTCCTCCAGCCCCTTAATTGAAGACTCATCCTGGGCCAGCCCCCAACTGTGTGTGTGCCCTACCCAGTCCCACGAGGTGTTTGTTTGTTCATCTTTTTTTTTTTTTTTTTTAAGACAGAGTCTCACTCTGTCACCCAGGCTGGAGTGCAGTGGTGCAATCTCGGCTCACTGCAACCTCCACCTACCAGGTTCAAGCGATTCTCCTCCCTCAGCCTCCTGAGTAGCTGAGATTACAGATGTATGCCACCATGCCTGGCTAATTTTTGTATTTTTAGTAGAGACAGGGTTTCATCATGTTGGTCAGGATGGTCTCAAACTCATGACCTCATGACACACCCGCCTTGGCCTCCCAAAGTGGGAGGGATTACAGGCGTGAGCCACCAAGCCCGGACTTGTTTGTTTTTAGAGACTAGGTCTTACTCTGTCACCCAGGCTGGAGTGCAGTGGTGTGATTACCGCTCACAGCAGCCTTAACCTCCTGGATTCAGGTAATCCTTCTACCTCAGCCTCCCAAGTAGTAGGCGCATGCCACCACACCCAGGCAATTTTTGTATTTTTTATAGATATAGGGTTTTGCCATGTTGACCAGGCTAGTCTCAAATTCCTGGGCTTAAGCAATCCACCAGCCTTGGCCTCCCAAAGTGCTGGGATTACAGGCATGAGCCACCATCCCTGGCCTGGCCCCACATGTTTAACCCCCACAAACAGTCTCTGTTGAGGGTCCTGGGGAGGGAATAACGTTCCCCCATCCCAGCTTCAGGCTAGAGATGAAGATCAGGGAGGCTGGAGGCTCACACTCCAGACGCATCAGTGGCCCCTACACAGCCTTTCTCAATTCCAGGGTGTACAAGGAGCCGCTGTCAGTCTCCATAGCAACCATTATCCCTGCCCTCCAAAGACCCCAAGCCTGACCTTCCCCATCTCCCAAAGAAAGGTCTCCTAGACTCACAGAGGAGACTGTGGGGTGTCAGGCTGGGCTGCTTTCCACAGCTGCTTCTGAGTTAGCCTCACTTTTTGCAGCCAGAAGTTGGGCACAGCCTGAGCCCCCCTTTCCAGGTCATAGGAGGACAGGTTCTCATTGCAATCCACATTCAACACGTATTGAGCATTTGCTATTTGCAGGCCCTGGTTGGGCACTGGATACAGGACAGACAAGGTTCCAGTCCCGTGAGCAGCTTACGTTCCGGGAGGGAGACTGGCAATAAACAAGCAAACAACTTCAACTTTCCATGAGTGCTGGCCAGCCCTGGGAGGCTCTGCTGCCAGAAGGAACGTCAAGGACAAGTTCTGGGCGGGAGACCCTTCCGGAGGAGGAGCAAGAAAGCTGCTGTGCAGCCTACAGCCTGGGGCAGGGGGATAAGTGTGGCTGCTGGAGACGGGAGGGACGGAGGGTGTTACTGTCTAACAGGTCATTTAAACTCTCTAGGGGAGAATCAGCCCACATCATAGGATTAATGGAGGACCTGGCTTGCTGTTCGGGTTTAGCATCCAGAGCGCCCCCCACCCCTTCCCTGGCCTGCTATGGGGTGCGCCGGGGAGAGTGAGGGAAGAGCTCCAGGCCAGGGCACCCCGGCACAATCACGACGATCGGGACAAGAGTGGGGATCCCCGGCTCTGCCCCGGCGGCCTAGGCCGCCCGCGTCTGGGGCCCCTCGCCAGCTCCCGGGCGGGAGGCGGCCTTTACAAGGGCGCTTTGTCCTCACTCCGCCGGCAGGACCGGACAAGGCCACCTGGACTGAGGATGGGGGAGGAAGGCCGAGGCTCCAGGTGTTCCGCAGCTCCCGGGCAGGTGTCGGCCGGCTCCGCCCCAATCCCCAGAGCAGGTGTCGCCTGCATTCCGGCCCCCTTCTTCTCCCTCGGGTCGAGCTCCGGCCATGCCTTTGATCCCGGGCCCCGGACACGGGCCCCTCCCCGCGGGGAGAGAGGGGAGGAGGCGCGGCCCTGGAGCGGGGGCAGGGCCGGGGCTCAGGGCAGGTAGCGGGGCCCGGGCCTTCGCGCGTGGCTGCTCCAGTTCCCCAGCCCTCCCCGCCTCCCGGTGGGAAAATCAGCCCAGGATGGGGTTTTGGGGACTCCTCGCGGTTTGGGGAACCGTCGGATGCTGGTGCAGGGGGCGGGGCCAGGACCCCGGGGGGGTCTCCCCTCCCCTTCGAGCTCAGCCCCGCCGAGGTGAAACCTGAGCCGAGGTCGGGGGCGGGGCTGGCCCGCGCCTCTCCCCTGGTCCCCGCACCCTGGCCGGCGGCTGCGAGCGCAGGGCCGGGCCTGGGAGCTGCTGGAGCAGGTGAGGGAGGCGTTTCCGCGCGGGCCGGACGACCCCGCCGTCGGGCCCCGCCGCCCAGGGCTGAGCCTCCCTTCTCGCCCCTCGGTCCGCAGGGCCCGCAATGGAGGCCGCAGCCCCGGGTCGCGTCCCGCCCTGAGCGCCCCCGTCGGCAGCCATGCTTCCCCGAGGGCGCCCCCGGGCGCTGGGGGCCGCCGCGCTGTTGCTGCTGCTGCTTCTGCTCGGATTCCTCCTGTTCGGTGGGGACCTGGGGTGTGAGCGCCGCGAGCTGGGCGGTAGAGCGGGGGCCCCGGGATGCTTCCCCGGCCAGCTAATGCCACGTGTCCCCCCAGACTGGAGGCTGCGGGGAGCCGCCGCCCTCGATGGAGACCCGCTGGCCGGCCCCAGGGACCGCAACCCCTCCGACTGCGGCCCGCAGCCGCCGCTGCCGCCGAAGTGCGAGGTAGGTACGCGCGGCCCCTGCGGCGGGAGTCCCGCGGGTGCTCCCCCCCGCCCAGCCTCTTGGAAGATCTTCGGGAATCACAGCACCTGGCGTCTGTCTGGCACTGGCCAGCCGGCTGGGGCGCGCCTCGGAAGTGCACCTCCTCTGCTCCGACCTCAATTTCCCCATTTGAAATGAAGGGTTGGTTCCTGCTGCCCCTCCGCAAACTCTTCCTGGCTCTGCTGCGGGTGGGGCAGCTCAGCCATGGGTCCTCGCCGCCTCGCGGAGGACAGGGGCCTGCTGCCGACCTGTGCGTCCTTCCCCAGCTCTTGCACGTGGCCATCGTGTGTGCGGGGCATAACTCCAGCCGAGACGTCATCACCCTGGTGAAGTCCATGCTCTTCTACAGGTACAGTCAGGTTTCCGTGGAGGAGGGTCAGGAGTGGGGAAGGGATAAAGTCCTGGATAGGCTGGCCTAAGAGCTTTAGCTTCCTCATCTGTGACATGGGGACAGCAGTGTCCCCTTCCTCCCTTAAGGGTGGTTGTAAGAACATTCTGAACTGCCGTGGAAAAGCTCTTTGCAGATGGTGCTTTTGCCTCTGCGCACCTCAGGGTGGGGGCTGACCCAGGTTGCTCCTGCTGGGGCCTCTCAGGCTTCCTCTTTGCCCACCCAAAAGGAAGAATCCACTGCACCTCCACTTGGTGACTGACGCCGTGGCCAGAAACATCCTGGAGATGCTCTTCCATACATGGATGGTGCCTGCTGTCCGTGTCAGCTTTTACAATGCTGATGAGCTCAAGGCAGGGGCCCAGCCCTTCTGCTTCCCTACCCAGCTGTGCCCTTTCTCCCAGAGCATGGTGGGGCTGGGGAAGAGAATCTTCAGTCCCATCAGCCTACTGAAGCTCAAACCTCTCTTTTGGGGTCTACCCCCTCTCCTCTGTCACTCCCAGCATGCGTTCTGGTGCTCCTAGGCCTCTCTCTGCCGTCTCATCCCCTGCCCTTCCCTCACACAGCCCCAGGTCTCCTGGATCCCCAACAAGCACTACTCCGGCCTCTATGGGCTAATGAAGCTGGTGCTGCCCAGCACCTTGCCCGCTGAGCTGGCCCGCGTCATTGTCCTGGACACGGACATCACCTTCGCCTCTGACATCGCGGAGCTCTGGGCACTCTTTGCTCACTTTTCTGGTGAGAGGCCTGGGAGCCTGCCTGGCCTGCCCAGGCCCCCTGCATCTAGCCCTGAGCCCAGGTCCTGTGGCAACCTCAGACAGGTCCCTCATGCCCTCCCCGCCAGACATGCAAGCGATCGGTCTCGTGGAGAACCAGAGTGACTGGTACCTGGGCAACCTCTGGAAGAACCACAGACCCTGGCCTGCCTTGGGCCGGGGATTTAACACAGGTGGGGACAGTGGTGAGGGGAGGCAGGTGGGGTGGTCTGCTGGTCCTTGGGCCCCTAGGGCAGAAGGGACAAAGAATGCTAGGTATCCCCCCAGGAAGAACAGTGCTGTGGAAAGAACCCTGGATGAAGAGTCAGACAGCACTTCCAACAGTCTTGTGTGCTGGATGACTTTGGCCAGCTCTTGTGCTGCCTCTGAACCTGTTTTCTAATCCACTAAATGGGGATAATTTTAACTGTCCTGGGATCACCAAGTGTAAGAAGAAGCCCGTGGAGGTGCTCTGTAAGCTGGGCAGCGTGCAGCACCTCCCCTTCACCCCCAAGAGGATTGACTGTTGACAGAAGTAGTCCATGAGCAAGCTGGGTACAGTGGCTCATGCCTGTAATCCCAGCACTTTGGGAGGCTAAGGTGGGAGAATTGCTTGAGCCCAGAAGTTTAACAGCCTTGGCAACATAGTAAGACCCCTGTCTCCACAAACATTAAAAAATTGGCCCGGCACGGTGGCTCACGCCTGTAATCCCAGCACTTTGGGAGGCCGAGGAAGGCAGATCACTTGAGTTAAGGAGTTTGAGACCAGTCTGGCCAACATGGTGAAACCCTGTCTCTAATAAAAATACAAAATTAGCCAGGCATGGTGTCACGTACTTGAGAGGCTGAGGTGGGAGAATCACTTTGAACCGGGGAGGCAGAGGTTGCAGTGGGTCAAGGTCACACCACTGCATTCCAGCCTTGGCAAGAGAGCAAGACTCTGTCTCAAAAATAAATAAGTACATAAATACATAAATAAAAAGAATAGGTGTGGTAGCATGCCTGCAGCCCCAGCTACTCTGGGGTGGGGGCGGGAGCTGAGATGGGAGGTTTGCTTTAGCCTGGGAGATCCAGGCTGCAGTGAGCCTTGATTGTGCCACTACACTCCAGCCTGGGTGACAAAGCAAGACCCTGTCTCTTTAAAAAAAAAAAAAAAAAAAGCCGGGCACAGTGGCTCATGCCTGTAATCCCAGCACTTTGGGAAGCCAAGGCAGATGGATCACAAGGTCAGGAGATTGGGACCATCTTAGCTAACATGGTGAAACCTTGTCTCTACTAAATATAATAAAAATTAGCCAGGTGTGGTGGCACACACCTGAAGTCCCAGCTACTTGTGAGGCTGAGGCAGGAGAATTGCTTGAACCCAGGAAGTAGAGGTTGCCGTGAGCCAAGATCACGCCACTGCACTCTAGCCTGGGTGACAGAGTGAAACTCCATCTCAAAAAAATTTTTAAAAAGTCCATAATCACGTGTGAACAGTCAGAAAATACCAATAAGTCAAAAAACAAAGGACACCTTGACAACCCATGTCCCCCAGGAGCTGGTTGTCCTGGGCGGGCATGACAGCATCTCCTCATTGGCAGGTGTGATTCTGCTGCGGCTTGACCGGCTCCGGCATGCTGGCTGGGAGCAGATGTGGAGGCTGACAGCCAGGCAGGAGCTCCTTACCCTACCTGCCACCTCACTGGCAGACCAGGTCTGGGGAAGCCTCGCTAGGTTGGGGGTGGCAGGCTGAGGGCTCGGGTGTGATGGGTGTCTCTGCTCAGGACATCTTTAACGCTGTGATCAAGGAGCACCCGGGGCTGGTGCAGCCTCTGCCCTGTGTCTGGAATGTGCAGCTGTCGGACCACACACTGGCTGAGCGCTGCTACTCCGAGGCGTCTGACCTCAAGGTAAGTGGAGGCTGTGTGGTGGTGGGGGGCCACGGATGGGGACTCCTGCTCCCTGCTCCCATAGCCCCAACACTCTCCTGGGTCCCAGGTGATCCACTGGAACTCGCCAAAGAAGCTTCGGGTGAAGAACAAGCACGTGGAATTCTTCCGCAATTTCTACCTGACCTTCCTGGCGTACGACGGGAACCTGCTGAGGAGAGGGCTCTTTGGGTGCCCCAGCCAGCCCCCGTCTGGTGCTGAGCAGGTGAGAGGGAGCCACCTTCCCCTGCCCCTCTCTGCTCTGGTGGGACCCAGCCTTGTCTGGGGGACATGTCCTTCTGCCCTACCCCAAGTCCTCACCCCTGGCCCCCTTAGTTGCAGCAGGCCCTGGCACAGCTCGATGAGGAAGACCCCTGCTTTGAGTTCCGGCAGCAGCAGCTCACTGTGCACCGCGTGCACATCACTTTCCTGCCTCATGAGCCACCACCCTCCCGGCCTCACGATGTCACCCTTGTGGCCCAGTTGTCCATGGACCGGTGAGGGTACAGAGGGCAGCCCAGGGAGTACGGCACAGGCTGGGGTTGGACACTTCTGAGTGGAGGTTCCATCTGGCAGCCTGATGCTGTGGTAGTGAGCTGCCTGGCCCACAAGGAGCTCCAGAAGTTGGAGACATTGGATGTGGTGCAAAGAGCTTGGGCACTGGAGTCATCCAGATGCCCAGAACTGCCCCTCGGTCGCTGTGGGACCATGGGCAAGTCTTCATATCTCTGGCCCTTAGTTTTCTCTCTCCAAGGAGAAGGTACCCACCTAGTGGGGTAGTTGTGAAGATTCAATCAGACTGGCTCTAAAAGTGCTTGAAGGGTGCTCAGTAAGTCACTTAAGGAGGGGGCAGCAGCTAACTGGGGAGGTTGTCCAGGCCTCCCTGAGCTCCTGTGTCAGCTATGCTGACCTCCCCGTCCTCCTAGGCTGCAGATGTTGGAAGCCCTGTGCAGGCACTGGCCTGGCCCCATGAGCCTGGCCTTGTACCTGACAGACGCAGAAGCCCAGCAGTTCTTGCGTTTCGTTGAGGCCTCCCCAGTGCTTGCCGCCCGGCAGGACGTGGCCTACCACGTCGTGTACCGTGAGGGGCCCCTGTACCCTGTCAACCAGCTCCGCAATGTGGCCTTAGCCCAGGCCCTCACGCCTTACGTCTTCCTCAGCGACATTGACTTTCTGCCTGCCTATTCTCTCTACGACTACCTCAGGTGGGTCTGCAGACAGGAAGAGGAACAGTGCATGGGGTGGATGTGAACAGGGCATGTATGGGACCCTGGGCTTCTAAGTCTCTGCTCCTTTCTGGGCCACAGTGGCCTCTGTCAAGTGGAGTTTCTCTGGGCTGCCAACAGGGGAGGGCAGGACCTGCTTCAGCAGCAGCTCCACCTGCGCCATGTCCACCCATCACATGAGGCAAGATGGCCCATGGGGGTCAGGTCCTATGGCTAATGCCCCAATGAGAGTCACTGGCCCAGTCCTGGAGGCCCCGCTCTTCTCCCCTGCTCATGGGTGCTCCTCCTCAGGGCCTCCATTGAGCAGCTGGGGCTGGGCAGCCGGCGGAAGGCAGCGCTGGTGGTGCCAGCATTCGAGACCCTGCACTACCGCTTCAGCTTCCCCCGTTCCAAGGTGGAGCTGCTGGCCTTGCTGGATGCAGGCGCTCTCTACACCTTCAGGTAGGTGGGGCTTCTTCTCTGGCCACGCCACTCACTTGCCCACACTGGCCCCTGCTGTCCACGAGCTCTTAGCCTCAGCCTGGCTCCCATCCGACCCTGCTGCACAGGTACCACGAGTGGCCCCGCGGCCACGCACCCACAGACTATGCCCGCTGGCGGGAGGCTCAGGCCCCATACAGTGTGCAGTGGGTGGCCGACTATGAACCCTATGTGGTGGTGCCACGTGACTGTCCCCGCTATGACCCTCGATTTGTGGGCTTCGGCTGGAACAAGGTGGCCCACATCATGGAGCTGGATGCCCAGGTGAGGAGGGTGCCTTGCTGCCACCACCTTTGATTCGAGCACCTCCAGGTCTGGGGAATTCCGGACACCTCTGCCTGGGGGACCACATCGCTAGGCAGCACTGTTAGAAATGTCCCCCTTCTGCAGAACTAAAATCATCTGCCCTTTGGTCCTTGCTTTAGCTCTTGGGGATACAGGGTAAGCCTGGAGCTGCACCTTCCCCGAAGGCCAGGCAAGCCAGGCAGCCACTGCTCCTCTGCCCCACCCTGCAGGAATTTGAGTTCCTGGTGCTGCCTGAGGCCTTCACCATCCATCTGCCCCACGCTCCCAGCCTGGACATCTCTCACTTCCGTTCCAGCCCCACCTATCGTGGCTGCCTCCAGGCCCTTAAGGATGAATTCCACCAGGACTTGTCCCGCCACTATGGGGCTGCTGCCCTCAAATACCTCCCAGCCCTGCAGCAGCCCTGGAGCCCTGCCCGAGGCTCCTGAGGCTGCCCCTCTTAGCACTGGGCAGACACCAGGGCAACCCAGCCTGCCCTCCACTATCCCTGCTATTTAAATTATTTAAGGTCTCTGGGAAGGGCTGGGGAGGAGCATCTGTGGGGTGGGGTCTTCCCTTTGCTGCTATTGTATGGCTAGGGTCTGGCCTCCCTCTGCCCCAGCCAGTTTGGGGCTGGTTCCCCCATCTTCAATTGTTCATCCCTTTTTCATAATTAAAGTTTTAAAAAATCCTTTTTGTATTCCTCCTAGTTTGGGGGAGCAAGGGTGCTCTGGGGCTAGGGCGTCAGTGCACAAGGGAGGTGCTACATCCAGTAGCTGGGGTCACAGGAGGGCCTGGGCCCTTAAGGGCAAGCCTCCCATACCAGATAGCTGGTCAGGAAGGGCAGAGGCTGGGGCTGGAATGTGTCTTGCCCACCCTCCCCTGCCCCAAACCCAACACCATGAGGCTAAGAGGCTTTATTTGGCTTTATTTAGTAAAATGTTAAAATAAATAAATACAAATTGATCAGCTGCTCTGTATCCCCCCCACCCCCTCAAAACAAAAACCAAACAGAAACAAAAACTTTGAAGCACAAAACTCCAAATACAAGTCTACCAAGACTGAAATCACAAAGGGCATGGACAAGAGACAGGGTTGGTTTCTGGCTGGCTCTTCTCTGCTAGGAGCTGGCTGACCTCTGGCCTGCCCGTCCCACCGCCTGGCTGCAGCTCACCTGGACTGAGGACCCACGGAGACCGGGGAAGAGGTGAGGGCCCAAAGGCTGCTGGGGACGGGTAGGGGCGGGGGAGGCTGGGTCCTCAGGGAGGAAGGGCTTTGTGGGAGGGGGCGCCAAGTGGAACTGGGGAGCCCTGCTTCCATTTATAGGAGCTACTTTTCAAAGTTCCTACCCCGGCTTTCTGAAGGGCAGCCCCGGTTTCCCGCCCCTCACTTTAGTGAGGGGGCCAGAAGACTGCCCAGAGGAGCTGACTCAGAGGACAGTCTAAGTCAGGGTGAGGATGGGAGTCCTGCTTCCTGCCAGGGGTGCCCGGCTGAGGGCAGGGGCGAGGTCCACACGGAGCAAAGTTGCCTCCACTCAACAGAAGCCATGGGATCTGGAGACCCAGGCCCTAGAAAATGCACAGGGCCACGCTCCATCCCATCATTACCTTAGGAGCCTTTTGCCTCTGGGTAGTCTCCTAAATTCAGCCCTTTAGATAAATAAGAAGGACCACGCCCTACAAGGGAATGAAGGGAAGAAACCTCTGAAGAGTGTGTGTGAGCTGGGAGGGGAGAGCCCAAGGGCTCTGCAATCCCCAAGAGAGAAGTATCAGAGGTGGCTGGAGAGGCAGCGTGCATGCGGAGACAGAAGTGTGCTGCAGACACAGCCACCCGCACAGACACAGCTGCATGCACCTGCCCCCACGCACACTGCCTGCTGGGCCTGAGCCAAGCAGCAGCAGGGACAGAGACAGGCCTTGCAGGGAAACCAGGCACACGATGGTGCCAGCTGGAGGCTGCCAGGGTGGCCACACCAGGAACTGCCCGTAGCTGTCTACCCCTGTCAGGTACAACCAGCAGGCTTACCACAAAGGGCCTAATAAGGAAGGAAGAAATCAAAACCCCGATGAGCTCAGCACAGGTGAGACAAGACCCAGCAGGCTCCATGAAAGAAAAAGGACCCGCAGGCAGCAAGAATGCAGAGGTGGAGATGACAGCAACATGACCTCACTACCACCAGGGCGCAGCGCCTGATCAGGAGCTGGCAGGGGACTCCCAGGCAGGGCCCAGTGGGCAGCCACTCCAGCTCTCTGAAGTGACTGCAAAGCCAGCTGGTCTCAGATAAGTAGCTGTCAGAGCAGCTAAATTCTGGGCCATGGGGAAAGAGCAGCGAAATGAAGGAGGAGGAAGCAAGTGGAGGTGGCTGGGTGGGGCAGTGTCACGAGCGTGTGTCTCTGGCAGTCTGGGGGGACAGTGAAGGACAGGGAGATTGAGTGCCGGGGGCCTCTTCTTTACAGTAAAGCAGTGTTTTGGAATTTGAGTCCAGAATGTAGGTTTGTGGGTAGGATTGCATCTTGCACTCCATACTAGCAGACTCCCAAAACAGCTCACATCTGAATGTAGGAAGAGTCCACAGCCCGGCTGCAGGCGAGGTCAGAATGTACTCAACACTGCTCAGGGTGGCAGGAAAAGCGCCGGTCCATTCCAAGCCTCATCCCCCCACCCCTGAGACTCCTCAGGCAGCTCCTCTCCGAGCAAAGGCCTCTAGTGATGATGGCTTCCCAACTTCTTTCAGGAAAAGGAGAGTTAACTGTTGTGGCAACCCCCAGATGGGCCCAGACAAGTTAAGGGGAAGAGCTCTAGACAGGGCAGGCAGCCTGCTGCTGGTCTCTGATCCTCTGCCATGATTCCTCCAACTAGTCCAGGCATCTCCAAGCCTCCCTGACGAGGCACAGCACCTTGGTTTCTGAGAAAAGGGAACTCTTTCCCTGTCAGCCAATCAAGCAGCCAGGGCCTAACTGAGGCCTGTTCAGCCAAATTTAACTCCCTCTTCTGAGGTCCTTGGGAAGATGAATGGCGACAGGTGATATGGATGAGACACATTTTCCTCTAAGAGTCTCTTCTCTGTTGAATTTGCTTTCAGATCTGTCTTTGTCTCTCTGGGCCTAACTCGGTGGGAGAGAACCTAATGGGACAGTTTTTACCCCTCCTAGACTCTGGCTATTACTAGGGCCTGGAGTGGGCCTTGGGGAGATGCTCCAGCAGGGCGGGGGTACGGAGCCTCCACTGCCCTCCCATCAGCCAGGGGCACGCAAGAGGCAAAGGTCTCCAGCCAGAGCTGACACCGTTGACTTCCCACAAGGCAAGATGAGAAAATGGTCTGAGCCTTTCAGAACCCTGGTTTTCTCAAGGAGAGGACATAACAGGCCAAGCCAAGGCAAGCGCAGCAATTCTAGCCAAGGGTCACCCAGGAGACTTGTGGGTGGGAGGAATGGAATGAATTCCATTTCTGGTGCCTGGAGCCAACAGGCAGAGAAAGGAGTGAGAGCTTCAGACCTCTCCCCAAAAGCAAGTCAGAGCAAAGGCCATCCTGGGGCTCTGTCTCAGAGACATACCCTTGAGACATGTCACTCCTCTGTTCTTTCTAAGCACCAAGGGCTGATGCAGCCAGCCTGCAGTCCCGCGCCCTCCTGCCACAGCCAGGGTGCAGGGGCACCACTGAGCTCCACTGGCCAGTTCCCTTGGAGGTGTCCCCCAGGCACTCATAATGCTGGTGGCTGAAAGACCAAAAGCAGCACCAAAGGAAGGGATCTTATTTAGGCACCAGCCTTTTGCTCTAGCAGAATCTAAGAAGACCATGGGGAGGGCCCTGACACCATCCAGACTTCCATTTGGGCTTCACAGCAGGAGACAAGATCCCTGCACCAAGAAGAGAGCACGGTCTTTTCTGAGGAGAGAAAAGGGTGGGGAGCTCCACCCTGTCCGTCAAGGAGACTGGGCCACAGTCTAGAGATACACACGGCAAAATGTCATCGTCATCAGCAGGGTCTGTGCTAAAAAATTATAACTACACGGCATTTTCTCCAGTTCTGACACCTTTTTAATAGAAATCACTGTTTTTAGGAAACAAATAGCACTTTTGTAATTTTTTTTACAATGTTTCTTACCTTGATCTTAATTTAAGTAACACTAGGAAGACCTCAATATCTTTTATTTTCCTTTTTAATTTAAAAAAAAGTTGGTTTTTTTCCCCCAGATACAAAGATTTTTGCCCTTGCATAAAAAACCAGTGCCCGAACGATGACACAAGGACTCACAAAGACTCACGGGACCTCACTGACACTATGATTCCTAATCTACCATGCAAGGTCTCGGCTACCCTTAATTGGACTGTCAGCCTGAAAAACAGCTTTTCTATTCCTTATTTTAGTTTTTGTTACCAAGAAAGTAAAATGAATAAAATAAAACTTTCCTTAAAGAAAAAAAGAACAAAAACAAAAATTTAAAAAAAGAGAAAAGAAATGTCTCCATTCAATTCACACACACCTGGGTCGCGTGCTGCTTCACTCAAGATCTCTTCTTATAAATATAGAAAAGGGATGGAGCTTGTTTTCAAGTAAAATCACTGATCCACCTTCTTTCCTTCCTGGACATACACATCCTTCTTCCCTGCCCCAGGCAAGGGCCAGTGGCCTGGGCTCTGCTTGTTCTTGGAGAGGAGACAGTGGGGTAACACGGGTGCGCGATTCACCAAGCAGGGAAGGAAGGAGGCTGGGCAGGCTTCAGGATGGGAGTTCCCATGGGGAGGGAGCAGAGCGCGGGGGAGAAGAACCTACTGGCTGTCCTTGGTGTCGGTTTCTCCTGTGAGGCCCCCGCCAGTGATTAAATACTGCTTATGTGATACACTGTCCCACCCCCGGCTCCCTCCAGCCACTCCCATTTCCTCTTCTGGGCACTGGGGTTAGTTGAATCTCAATTCCTTTTTTTGGTTTTATAGTAGCGAAAGTTTAGAAACAGGAAAGCCCACACACTCTTTGGACTTGTCTTCTCTACCTAAACAAACGGCTCGGCAAGTAAGGATCTGAAACCTGCTCTCCTCCCTCCGCCCGTCCCTGCTCCCCACCCAAGAAAACAGAAACAAACCCATCGTGGCTGTGGAGGCTGCTGCAGGCACACACTGGTGTATAATAGAGAGAGTAAATATATTATTTCACTTGGCATGGTGCTGGCAAAGAACCTCCAGCTGGCACTATTTCATGTAACATGGTCCAATCTTTGCATGTACACACAGAATAAGAAGGATCAATTGGCAAACTCTGGTGCCACCTGGCACAAGCATCTTCTCTCTCTCTGGAACCAAAGAACCAAAAGAATTCTGCACTTTCCAGAAATCCGGCTTTACTTTTCTAGAGTCTTCAGTGTTCTCTCCTTGCCGCCGGGATCCCGTGGCTTCTCCTAGAGGGGCTCTGTTATTTAGTCTCTTCCCCTGGGTTACAGTTCGCTGTGCAGCTCTGGGAGGAGGGGGAAGGGGCCGGCGTGGAGGTGACGGCGTTGGCAGGGGGGGTGCAGTCCGGGCCGTTGGAGATGGCCCCCACAGTGGCCTCAGAGTCTACAGGTTTGGAGAGGTCGATGCCGTGGATGAGGCGAATCAGCTGTTTTACCTTCTCCAAGGAGCTGTGCATCTCCTTCTGCCGGGCCAGGATGGTGTTCTTCATTTCCATGCATTTCTGCAGCAAATAACAAGGGCAGTGGCACTGAGCCGCCTCATTCTAACAGGCCTGGCAGCCCCTGAGAGCAGAGCACCTTCTCTCTGCCCAGGGAGAAGAACCCCGGCTGGCTGCTATGCAGCCCCTGGGCCTTGCCATGCTCCCCAGCAGACTGGGTGCTACCACCTAAGGAACAGGGCAAGTGGAATGGGTAGGCTGGGGGAGTCCAAGAGGCAACAGAGGGAGAGAGGATGTGGGCATGAACACTCCGGAGTGCTAACACTTAAAAGCAAACCGGCAGGGCTGCCATCAGACTTCCAAACAAAGGTTAAAAAAAAAAGTTCCCACAGCTGCCCTGCAGCCTGTTCAGGCGGGTTTTGATATGCTTCTGTCATGCTAATGGGGGCCTTCAGGACTGGACTGAGCTCTCCAGGGTGCTATCTGGATTCCATCTGAGGGCAGCAGGAAGTGCGAGGGTGCACCGGCAACATTTAGGAGGATCTAAGCCCAAAGGACAAAGGCCTGCAACCAACAGAACACCTTCTGCTCAGTCAGGGACTTGTAGTCTTTTCCCCTTTTGCCCTCAGCCTCCCATACCTGCTGGCTTCTGTTTTAGGCAGGGAAAGAGATGAAAGAGGTGTTAAATCTGCATGCCATGGGTAGGTATGGTAAGGAGGAGAAAGCAGGTTAAGCGGGACAGTTCAACCACCACCAAGTACAAGCACCAGCTGGCATCTGTGAGGGCTGAGGTCACTTCACTCCAATAAGGGTGACCTACTCCGTGGAAAAGAAGGCTGGCTCCTTGCCTGGGATGAGTCTCTGTCCCCCTGCTGCAAATACAACCCTCTTTCCCACCTGGACAGGCTGGGCTGGGCAGTACTTACTTCCAATACTTGTCTCTAGAAAGCCCACTTCCTCACACTGGTCAGGAAAACCGGGAAATGCAATCAGCATGGTGTGGAAGCAAGAGCAAGGGAGGGCCGTGTGGATGGGCCCACTCGCTCAGGTGACTAGGAAGAATCACACGAGGGGACCTGGTCTGTGTCTGCTCAGTGTCAGGTGAGGCACTACACTCCCCCCACACACTGTCAGGAATAGGCAGGGCTGTGGCTACACTGTGTAGCTGTTACTTATGCAGCCTGGTGACTGAGAACCCTCTTTCAGATGAAAGCCAAGAGGATGTTCCAGAGCTTAGGTAAGGCACCACCTACCAACTGGCCACCTGAACTCTAACTGGACAGCAAACTGCATTTGCCCAAATTACTCATGTTAATAAACAGAAGGACCCGAAGCAGCCTGGGGTCCACACGTACTGTTTTGTATGTGGAAAGGCCCAAGTCTCTGCATCTATGTAAGGACTGTTGAAGGCACAAGCTTTACTTACACTTATGGAATTGCTGAGCTGTTTCACCTTTTGCTCTAGTTGTTCTCGTTCTTGTTTTAAATCTGAACTCCACTTAAGTAACTTCTGTTTCTCTTCTTCTTTTGCTAAAAAAAGGAACAGTTTTTGACAATTAATTCCTTGAAAAGGACTGTGCTCAGAATGCCTTCCAAAGACATTTTCCCCAAAGTCCTATGAGTCCCACAGCCAGTGCACAGTGTTCACCTGGACTTTTCCTTCTTCTGTGTACAGTATGCTAAGAAAACTGTCAGTGGCTTGGATCTGGCTTTATATAAATGGGATACCACATCTCATTTTTTCCCCCAAGAAAGTGCTACAGACCAGGCATGGTGGCTCATGCCTGTAATCCTAGAACTTTAGGAGGACAAGGCAGGTGAATCCCTTGAACCCAGGAGTTTGAGACAAGCCTGGGCAACAAGGTGAAACTCGTCTCTACCAAAAAATACTGAAGTTAGCTCGGCATGGTAGTACACACCTATAGTCTCGGCTACTTGTGAGGCTCAGGTAGGAGGATCAACTGAGCCCAGGAAGTGAAAGCTGCAGTGCGCTGTGATCTTGCCACTACACCCTAGCCTGGGCGACAGAGTGAGACCTTGTCTCAAAAAATAAATAAATAAAAAGAAAATGCTACACAGTATTTCCACTTCATCTAATAAAAGGTTTTCATTTTTTGTTTGTTTCCTCCAATAGTTAAGAGCAAAATATTTTCTTTTCTTTTTTTTTTTCCAGACAGAGTCTTGCTTTGTCACCCAGGCTGGAGTGCAATGGCTCCATCTCGGCTCACTGCAACCTCTGCCTCCTGGGTTCAAGCATTTTCCTGTCTCAGTCTCCCGAGTAGGTGGGAATTACAGGTGCCCACCACCACACTCTGCTAATTTTTGTGTCTTTAGTAGAGACGGGGTTTCACCATGTTGGCCAGGCTGGTCTCGAACTCCTGTCCTGTGATCCGCCCGCCTTGGCCTCCCAAAGTGCTGAGATTACAGGCATGAGCCACTGTGCCCGGCCAAGGTTTTCATTTTTAACTTTAAATTTCCTTTTGGGAATAAAACAAATACTGCCAGTACCTTTTTTTTTTCTTTAACAAGGGGAAAGCTTACAAAAAAGTGAGTATGGGTAACTCCTTACCTGCTTTGTAGGCAATATAGGAATGAACAATTGCTAAAGTTCCAGGCCATGGAATTGCTTCTTCCTTCTTCAGCATCTGAAAAGATTTTTAGAATTTTACCTTGAGAAGGAGGTTTAAACACATATCCTCTATGTAACAGCTAGCAATGGGGTCTGTGGCTACTGGCAGATAAAATCCAGGAAGGATTTATGGTAGCAGTGTTGCAAAACCCTGGTCTCTAGTTTCTGGACTAAAAAGTTCCAAATATCAGCTTAGGAGAATGAAGTTCAAGGCAGGAACAGCCAGGACACTTGAGCCCAGGCTTAGAAGGAGCTTGGACTTGGCTGAGCATTCCTAACTTTTCGTACACGCCACATGATACCCAACCACTCCTGACAGTTAGAACCACCAATACAAAAGCTGCACATCAGCATGATGGCAGCAGCCACTGGCAGTTTCAACCTTGACCTGACATGAGCTGTCTGTCTTAATTTTAGATTTATATGCCTCTCAAAGACAGCCTGACCAAGGAAATTAAATATTAGTCCCAAATAAAAAGTATAATCTAGACCCTATGTCAAAAGTCATCAGAAGGTCACAAAGGAGCATCAGGAGGAAGACAGTGAGAGAAGGTTTGCTGCACCACACAGCCTGCAGGATGAGGACAAGCTTACAAGGGAAACCCAGAATTTGTTCAAAGCAGGATTCCAAAGACTGAGCAGGATCCCAGTGCTTGCTGAGCTATTGGGCTTGCTTATTTATTATTTATACTTTGCCTAACTCTAAAGAAGACTTGAGACAGCTTATAATAAGATCATAAAGACATATATATACATGGATAATGGAGAAAAGGCAATCAGAAACTAAACAGAGAAGGAGGGAGGCTAGGACAGTAATATGTTTGCCTTTTAAGTCTATAAAATATCAACAATACTTTACAGTTAGTTCTCTGAGCGTGATATAACAAAATAGGTTAAAAGTGAAATGGGTGGGCTGGGCGCAGTGGCTCACACCTGTAATCCCAGAACTTTGGAAGGCCAAGGCAGGCAGATCACAAGGTCAGGAGTTCAGATCGCCAGCCTGACCAACATGGTGAAACCCCGTCTCTACTAAAAATACAAAAATTAGCTGGGTGTGTTGGTGCACACCTGTAATCCTAGCTACTCAGGAGGCTGAGGCAGAGACTTGCTTGAACCCAGGAGGAAGAGGTTACAGTGAGCCAAAATCGTGCCACTGTACTCCAGGCTGTGATACAAAGTGAGACTCCGTCTCAAAAAAAAAAAAAAAAAAAAAGTAAAATGGGTGTTATTTTTATTGAGAAGGAGTCTTGCTCTTGTCACCCAGACTGTAATTCAGCAGCATAACCTCTGCTCACTGCAGCCTCCGCCTCCTGGTTTCAAGCGATTCTCCTGCCTCAGCCTCCCAAGTATCTGGGATTATAGGCACCTGCCACCACGCCCAGCTAATTTTTGTATTTTTAGTAGAGACAAGGTTTCACCATGTTGGCCAGGCTGGTCTCGAACTCCTGACCTTAGATGACCCACCTGCCTCGGCTTCCCACTGTGCTGGTATTACAGGTATGAGCCATTGTGCCTGGCTCAGGATGTTATTTTAATTAATCAACTGGGTACTTTCTCTTAAGGATTATATTCCCAAAGAAGAGTTTTAAAACTATATACTTGGTCTGGACCATTCCTAGAGAATGAAGCACAATGGTCTTTTAAGGGTCTTGACTTTTAAAGAGAAGCTAAGTCACTTCAAATACAAGGAAGAGTCTATCCACCTCAGTAATATGGCAGAGAACTTCTGAGGGAATGAATGCCATGTGCTTGAGTGCTGTGCCATGAACAGGGAAGATGTAGCCTGAAGACCAACTTGGAGAGAGAAGAGACTGCCATTCCCAGAGAAAGGAATTTCTCCTGATGGCTGTGTCTTTGTCCTCCTTGGCCCCTCACCCATCAGACCCACCCACGGTACCTGGTCCTGACATCTGGGACAGATCCACATGCCCTTGGGAATTGTTTTCAGAGGGGGGTCTAAGCAGTCCAGATGATATACACGGGAACACGTGTCACACATCAGTAACTGGCCACTTTTTCTGCAAACGCTGCAAAAATCCTCATGAATATCACCCTATAAAGTTGAGAGGAAAGGTAAGAAAAAGGACAAAAAAGGTAAAATTTTAATGTAACATGTGCATTCTGGATGCATATAAATATTTTAGGACAGTCAGCTGCCTCGTTCCAGGAGTATTCAAGAGAAGTAGGGATCACCAATAGCACAGGCCCCTACTCACTCCATATAGCTAAGGCTCCCTGGGTAGGCACAGTGCAGTAGTCCGTCCTTATCCATGGGGGATATGTTCTAAGACCCACAGTGGATGCCTGAAACCTCAGACAGTCCTGAACCACATATATATATATATATGTTTTTCCATACATGCAGACCCATGATAGTTTAGTTTATAAATTAGGCACAATAAGAGATTAACAACAGTGACTAAGAAAACAACAATTATAACAATTTACTGTAATAAAAGCTATGTGAATGAGGTCTTTTTTCTCTCTTAAAACATCTTAATATTTTCAGACTGCAGCTGACTATGGGTAACTGAAACAGTAAGAAGTAAAACCTCAGATAAACAGGGACTACTGTATTCTTAAATTTAAATTAGAGTTTACAGGAAAGGTCTGTAGTCGCCTAGGCTAAAATTAAACTTATAGGTGATACCTAAGAGTTTGGTAATTTCTGGCAGAGGACAACCCACATATCACCAATCTTATAGGTACTGAAATCCATTCATCAAAGTGTTTCATAATATGATACCAACAATTCTCGTCACCTATCAATTTTGGGCAGAGTTTAGAAGGATTGGGAAAGAAGACAGACAAAAATTGGGGTTTTCCTGAACCTGCTTGCTCAAGAAGAAAAAAATATAATGAAAGCTCAAATGGGAAAATATTCAGTCAGAAACAAATTAAATTCATATGCGTGTTCTTTCTAACATGAAGAATTTAAAAAGCCAAAGCAACAGCTGACAATGCTCTCCTAAAACCAGTATTTTGTGTTTGCTGTTCAATGGACCATTCTATTCTGGGACGCTTCATCCCTATAAAAACTTTACCAGCTGGAAAAAGACTAGCAGCCCCATTCTGTTCTGCCTGTCCTGTCTCTCTACCTCCCCCACCACAGCAATAGTTTTAAGACTCAGGTAAGTGTGCTGGAGCCTCTGAACAGAAGGCACCATCAGAATAAAGCAGATCTACTTAAAATTGGAACAGGAGACCATAGCCAAAAAAAAAAAAGAGCCATTAAAGAGGTCTTTTCCAGCAAGTCAATCTCTAGCTCATTCTCTGGATGGGATTAAATCCACCAGTAAGGACACCAGGGAAGGGAAGACTGAAGAGAAGTACCAGAGGTGACCCAGCAAGTCAAGCCAATGTGCTGCTGTGGATTTCTTGGCTATTTTGCTGGAAGGTCTAACACAGAAACTGCACAGGAAGCAATGGTAGAGAGCAATGTGAGTCCCTCCTTTCTATGATGTGATCCCTCCACCACCACTGAAGGAACACATCATCATGGACCTACAATTTCACTCCAAGGGAAACTTTCTCTGTAATCCACTAGCATATCTGGCAGCCCAGAAAAGAGGCTGCAAAAATTTTAAGATATATTATAGTGTGGATGGATTTTAATCTTTCTTAACAGGAAAATGTGACCCCTGGACAGTAAAAAAGATGTTTAACATATGCTGAAAAATATTACATGTGAATGTAGCCTAACAGTTTAACTTCCAGGCACCAACAGACGTAAGGTTTCATCCCTAGATTAACTATGACTTTCTTCTTTCATTATTAAAATCAGGCTGAGGTCTACTCTTCTCTAGAGGGTTAGCCTTTCTTGAACCTTAGCCCTACGTGGTGAGTCTGCATCTTTATAAAGTTTATTTAAAATGTGTGACTTTAGAGACTGTTTACATGAACCACAGAAAAAATTATCAGTGATAGAGTGAATGAGACAAACTGGACATCTTATTCAGAGGGACTTGGGATAGACGAAGATGGGTTCACTTTCCTTTGCTCCTGAGCAAGGAGACCATCAAGAAATAGAAGGCAGTTACTTTGAAAGGGTTTTACACTGTAGTTGTATCTTGCAGATGTAGCTAAAGCCCCAGTAATCTAGCTTTTACTAAGAGTAATTAAAAAAAAAAAAAGAAATTAATAAAAGAAACAGAAGGCAGAAAGAAAACAAAGGTTAAATAATTTATTTAAGTTCTCAAAGGAAACTTTCTATCTTATTTATATATCCTATAATTTTCGGTGTTTTGTTGTTAAGATCCCTTTCTACCCTTAAAGTTACTGAGGATCCCAGGGAGCTTTTATATGAGTTATATCTATTAATATTTACTGTAATAACAGTTAAGAAACAATGCTTTTTTAGACAGGGTCTGTCTCTGTCACCCAGGCTAGAGTACTGCAGCCTTGACTTCCCAGGCTCAGGTAATCCTCCCACCTCAGCTTCCCAAGCAGCTGGGACTACAAGCACACACTACTATGCCCAGCTAATTGTTTTAATTTTTTGTAGAGACGAGTCTCACTTTATTACCCAGGCTGGTAAAAACTTCTAATTCTGAATTACAGAACCATGAAAAGTCATAAAAATAGTATACTGAAACATTTTAAAACTCCAAAACACATAGGTACACATTTCATTAGCGGCCAGAGTGATGACATCATCACACATCAAGCAGTTATCTGGTAAACTCCACTGTTCGGCCTTGAGAGAATGAGAATGAAAGTGGCAAATGATGGTTTAGTATCATTATAAAAACAGTTTTGACTTTATGTCCCCGAAAGAGTCTTGGGGTTTCCCAGACTACACTTTGAGAACTGCTGCCCATAGAAATGAATATAAAATGCCAAACCATTTTATCCATACAGAACTGGTTCTTTGTCTAAAAAAGAGCAGAGGAAGTCCTACAGAGGCAGCATGCCAGGTCAAAAGGCTTAGGCTCTGATGACTGACCAAATTATTACTATAAACCAAATAGGAGGTAAGTTGAAAGACAGCTGGCCCATGATTCTTTGCTATGAGCTGAAGACATATGTTTTTAGGAAGCACTCTGGCTCTATCAACTACAATTTCATCATGTGCTAAAAAAAATTTATGTCAGTATATCTTCCTTGTATCTTCCCTTTTATCATAAAATGATGATAATGGCAACAAGGTACATCCAGAGGATTGGTGTCTGGCTAGGTCTTGTACTACACCAAGTTCCTCACAATGGTTTCTGATCCCTAGAAATGCCTGCCTCTCAAGTGCTATTGTTTAATTAATGTTGTTGGAACGTATGCTACCCAGCAGCAAACAGACAGAGCCCTGTGTGTTGATTTTAATCACTACCACTACTGGGATACTGTAAAAAGAGAAGTTAATTATCTTAAAAATACATTCTGTCAAGTTTAACTTAGGGAGTTCCGGACATATTTAGTAGTTTTAGGAAAGCTTTCTTTTACCTTCAGATTTCTGAAAAGAAAAATGTTTGCATTTTAAGACAAAACCTGGCAGAATCTTAGTTTATTTGGCGAGTGGATCCTTTGGGTTCAGTCTCTCAAAGAGAACCATAATCCCATTTGACCAAAACAACAACATTGTTTAGGAGAGAGACTCACATGCAGAACCACAAACTCATCTGTCCCCCAGCATTTGTGTACCACCCTAGAGGGAGAGCTCTACCAAGAGGCCAAGGAGCTGGCGATCCTTTGGCAATATTTCAACTGAGAAGAAGCTGGGACAATCTTTGGCGCCAGCAAACAAGATTTCTCATAGAGACCCTGCTGCTCATTAAAAGGACAATTAGAAAATCTTTGTCAATTATTAATGCCAAAAGTCAGGAAGGCTGGAAAAAATGCTGAACCTTTAGAGCAATGATGAATCTGTAACCACAGCAATGTCTAACGAAGGAAACAAGGAAACCTGTCAGAGAACAGAATTCTTCCATGACCCGAGTCCTCCAAAAATAACACTTTCTTTGTTGCCTCTGGAATTTTAACTCAGAACATTCATATGGTATTCTGCTGCTCCTTTGAGAGCGGTGTGCCATTAGTAGGTTCTGAGAACCTTCAAGTTCAAGAGACATTTTATCTTACAATGGTCAATGACAAGCTCTGTAATTTACCAAAGAACTGGGACGTGTGTGAAATGAAGCTCTTGGTTTCCCTCCTGAGATCTGCTCCTCTCTTACTCTTTAGTAAAAGGAAGCTTCATCTTTCTAGTCATTTAGGCCAAAAACTTTGGATTTATCCTTATCCTTGACCATTCTTTTTCTCATAACCCATATTCAATCCTGATGGTTCTTCAAAATATATGCAGATGTGATCACTTTTCTCCATCTCTGCTTCTTCCATCAAATTAGACTAAGCTATCATCATCATCTTTCTTTCCTTTTTTTAATTTATTTTTGAGGTGGTCTTGTTCTGTCACCCAGGCTGGACTGCAGCGGTGCAGTCATGGCTCACTGCAGCCTCAACCTCCCATGCTCAAGTGATCCTCCCACCTCAGCCTGACGAGCAGCTGGGACTACAGGTGCACACCAGTATGCCCAACTAATTTTTGTGTATTTAGTAGAGATAGGGTTTCACTATGTTGCCACCACACCTATTTTTTTCTTAAGATGGAGTCTCACTACAGTCAGGACTGTAGTGCAATGGCACAATCTCAGCTCACTGCAACCTCTGCCTCCTGGGTTCAAGTGATTCTCCTGCCTTAGCCTCCTGAGTAACTGGGATTACAGGCACACGCCACTATGCCCAGCTAATTTTTGTATTTTTAAGTAGAGACGGGGTTTCACCATGTTGCCCAGGCTGGTCTTAAACTCCTGGGCTCAAGCAGTCTGCCCACCTCGGCCTCCCAAAGTGTTAGGATTTACAGGCGTGAGCCACTGTGCCTGCCCGTCATCATCTCTTGCCTGGACAATTGCAACAGCCTCCTAACCGGTCTTCCTGCTTCCATTCTATTTTCACTATAGGCCCTTTTCTTCTCCATATTTTAGACACAGTGATCCTTTTAAAATCCAAGTTGATTTTGCATATACCTTTAAAATAATAAATGCAGGCAGGAATCATGAAAGGATGCTAAAAACATTGGGTAACAGTTTGTTGGGAGACTGGATATGTATACAGACTCAAAGCTATCTCCACCCCAGGAAAAAGGCACATTTAAAGGTGGAAACATCTGATAGAACCTATCTTAGAAGATGAAAGTTAACATAATCAACAACAGGGGAGACTGACATCATGTGCCTCCTGCTGTGATGCACTGATAATGACCCATTGTCACGTAATAGTATATTAGTGTTCCTCTAAATGCATACCCTGAATCTACGCTGAGAAAAAAAAAACCAGACAATCCAAACGGAGAGGCACTCTACAGAGGAACTGGCTTTTTAAAAACATCAATGTTATGAAAGACAAAGGCTGAGAAACTGTTCTAGAATAAAGGATTACCAAATAGACAATATCATGACAATAAATGTCCAGAGTAATCTTGAATTGCACCCTGGAGCAGAAAAAACAAAGTGTCACAAAAGCAAGTATGGACAATTGGAGCAATCTGAGCATGGACTGCATATTTTATATACTAATATTGTATCAGTGTTAAATTTCCTCAACTTGATAAATGCATTGTAGCTATATAAGAGAGTATCTTTACTACTAGGAGATACATAGTGAAATATTTTAGGGTAAAGATTCAGGAGGTCTGCAACTTCTTATTATCCGGTTCCCCCAAAATAAGTGTGTATGGTAGGTGAGAAGTGTATGTGGCAAAATGTCAACAACTGGTGAATCAATGTGAAGGACACTGGTTCTCTGTACCACTATTGAAATTTTTCTGTAGGTTGGAAAATTTTCAAAATAAATATTGAAAGATTACATCACTCCTCTCCCCAAAACCCTCTAATGATCTCCCATTTTACTGAGAACGAAGCCCCAAAGCCCTGCACAACTGTTCCAGTCACCTCTGAGGCCTCATCTCCCACTAGCTGGCACTACCCCGGCTACCCTGGCCTTCTTGCTTTCTTTCCAGGTGCCGTGCACACTCCTACCTCAGGGCTTTGCAATGCTGGTCCCTCTACCTGGCAGGCTCTTCCCAGATCCTCCCATGGTTCACTCCTTCACATCCTGTCAGAGAGGCTTTACCAGTCTTCATAAACATCAGCCTCCTGCAGTATGCTGTATTATGCCCTTAATCTATTCCATTTTTCTTTTCTTTTCTTTTCTTTTTTTTTTTAAATGGAGTCTCACTCTTTGTCACCCAGGCTGGAGTGCGTGGTGCAATACTGGCTCACTGTAACCTCTGTCTGCTGGGTTCCAGTGATTCTCCTGCCACAGCCTCCTGAGTAGCTGGGATTACAGGAGCACATCACCACATTCGGCTAATTTTTGTGTTTTTTTTTAGAGACGGGGTTTCGCCATGTTGGCCAGGCTGGTCTTAAACTCCTGACTTCAGATGATCCATCTCCTCGGCCTTTCAAAGTGTTAGGATTACAGGTGTGAGCTATCATGCCTGGCCTCATTTTTCTTCAGAGCACTTATCATCACCTGACATATTATACATTCACTTTCTTTTTTTTTTTTTTTTTTTGAGACGGAGCTCCGTTCTTGTTACCCAGGCTGGAGTGCAATGGCACGATCTTGGCTCACCGCAACCTCCGCCTCCTGGGTTCAGGCAATTCTCCTGCCTCAGCCTCCTGAGAAGCTGGGATTACAGGCACGCACCACCATGCCCAGCTAATTTTTTGTATTTTTAGTAGAGACGGGGTTTCACCATGTTGACCAGCATGGTCTCGATGTCTTGACCTAGTGATCCACCCACCTCGGCCTCCCAAAGTGCTGGGATTACAGGCTTGAGCCACTGGGCCTGGCCACATTCACTTTCTTATCATCTGCCTCTTCAGATGAGCCCCTTGAGGACAGGGAGTTGGTTTTGTTCCCTGCTGTGTCCCCAGCCTTAAGAATAGCACTTACTCAGCAGAGTAGTGCTCAGTGAGTATCTGCTGAGTGAATTCTGAGCTTTGCTGAGGCTCGTTTAAACAGAGCACTAGTCCACATTCCTGCAGTTTGTGGGTAAAAGCCTACGAAGTATTTGACAGTTTTCCAGGAACCTGTTTGTGATCAACTCTGCTGAATACAGTTGCTCTAAAGAAAACTTTCCACTTCTGGAATTGTATTTGAAGCAGCAAACAAGGGCTGCTGGGGGACTGTATGCCTTGTTCATTTTCCCCACTCCCAAAACACTGATGATAGAAACCTGCACAACTCTCAATTGTATGAGCTGTTTTCCCCGCCCTATCTGTTTTCTAAGAACTCATTCACAATAGATCAAATTCAGACTCTGACGGCTGGCTGAGCTCCATGAGGTTATATTTAACATGATTCTCAAGGACAAGGAAGGCCTGGAACCCCAGAGGAAAGCTGCCTTACATGGCATAAAAAGCATTCTACAGGGTTTATTGCTGTTCCAGCGTTAGTCAAGAAGGTGCAAGTTGATAAGGAGACAACATATGATAACGCTTTTCCCAATTTAAGCTCTCAGAAAGAGAGTGTGCTTTTCCCAAGTTACTTACGTCTGTGGAGGTGGGGCTGGGCAGGGACACAGGCTGAACAGGTGCAGGGAAAGTGAATGTGGTCTCTGTCTTTTCATTTTCAGGGGAGTCAGGATGACTGGATTGGGGGGATGTTGGGGTAAGGGCTCCAAACCCCAGCACTGCATTGTATTTTGGAGGACGACCTATATACCAAGAGAAGGGAACAAAAGGGAAAAAGGGGGAGGGAAAGAGAGGGGGAAAATGATCTTACATACCTTTGGCCAGTGTTCCTCATTGGCTAGCATGGAAAAGGAAGTGAGGTAGCAGACAGAAGGTTAATACAACAGTCCCAAAGGAAGAAAGAGAAGCAAAGATTTAAATGTCATTAGAAACAACTACATGACTCTCAAGAGAAGGGAGGATAAGAGAGCTCTGGAGAATGACAGAAGGTGCTGGCTTATGTAGAAAGACCTCACCTTGGGCAGATTGTAGAGAAGTTCCTGACTATTGCAATCTGAGATTTCTAGTGCAAGAACCAAGATGTCAAAGCCCAGTGGGAGCCAGGGTCAGGAATGAGTTTATTTTAATTTTTCATATCTTTTGGATACTGTTCTTTAAGGTTTCTCTGCAATCAGCATTCTCACAATACTATTAATGATTCTCAGTTCCCACAAACTGATTTATTTAGGATTTCTGCTTTTCGTTCTCTCTTCCGTCTGCATTTTATAAGGATGGAGACGGGCAAAGCAAGGAGGCAAAATTCAAGTTAACTATCTTACTCCTTGCTGTCAGAGCTATTGAGAGGTATGTCCTGGGAGTAGCTGAAACCTAAGAGCTTGAAAGATGCTCTGGGCTTGGCAATGAATTTAAGTATTTCTGTTCCTGGATATTCTCCCCAGTTGACTGGCAGTTGTCCCCCCATTTTACATTACAAGCATTCTGATGGACTACATGTCTAAAAATTGGGGCTGTTTAAAAGTCTCAGGAAAGGCCCTGCCATCAGCACAACTGAGAGACTTGATTGGTATAAAAGCATTGTGACTCAAACCTTAAGGCTACAAAGAATCTTAAATGAGCCACGTGGGTACAGAAAGTCTAGGTCAGCCACTCTTGCCTTACCATATAACTAAGTCAAGGTCCTTGTCTTCTAAGGGCCAAGGTCATAGCTTCTAAGCTGTGAGTGATCAAAAGTATATGCCCAACACACCAAAGGGAAAAAAAGAGCCAGAGAGGTACGAAACTGCCGATAAGCACTGGTAAATGGTATGTAGGATCATGACTTTGCCAACAGTTATAATTTATATCAGGATTATATACAAGAATAATGATTCTGTCAGATGTTACAAAAATATCACCTCTTTGTGTTCAATTGGTGATGCCTATAGTACAAAGCCAGATCTTACTGGTTTGTCTTTTCTAGGGAGTTCAGTGCTGCTGGAAGGGGAAGAACAAGATGAAGGCTCTCTTGTTTATCCACAAAAGGCACTGCGGATACAGGCTTTTATCCTCTGACCTCGGCAAGAGATGCCAGGGTCTTTCTGGCTCATTTAACCCCTGTCCTCTTAGCAGATACTGCCCACTATCACAGACCAATTATTGTGGCCTCTAGCTGGGGGGCTCCTTTCCAAGAACTGCATCAGGGGTCACTAAAAAAATTTACCAAACATAAGACAAAACAAAAATAACTTACAGTACTGGTTACTGTGGCCCAGGAATCAATATAACGCAATGATTTAGGGTTTGCCATCTAAATATTTTTGAGTACTTGAAGGACAGGACTGATGAAACAACAGGATGGGTTGCTAAGGGTGGGTATGAAATATCTTTTGTGGGGAGGGAATGGTAATAGTGCAGTCCTGCCTAAGGCAGACAAAGGGTCACGATGACCTCCTGAGCTTCCAATAGCTCTGAGACTGTGTGTGCATATGCAAAAATTAGTATGCTACTCCACTCACTCTGCAACCTTTCTAGCCTGGAACTATAATTCAGGGACACATTACCATGTGGAGAAAAGGACCTTGGGATGTATTACTGACATCAAAGAACAATTTCAGTGCCTTGTTTATGAGCTCAAACCCTGAGCTGTTAAGACCTATTTAGACCTGCATGGTGAGAGATGCTGCTGCTGCTACTTTTTCTGCTCTGCCTAAGAGTAAGTTTCTGGAATGCTCAGGGGAAGGTCTGAAATATGGCGTTGGAGCTCTTTAGGAATCTGTTCTTTAGGGAGCCTGTTTTGACAGTGATCTTTTCTTCCTTAGTTGGAGATGTCCTCTTCTCAAAGATTCTAAGTTCTCAAGTGTGGCTACCTTTTTCCTTCCTGGAAAGTTTGCAGTTCCAAGAAACTCAGAGCCACACTCTGGCCTCGCTGGCAGCAGGACGACCAAGACTATTAGGAACACCCTAGCAACGACAGTGCTCTGTTCTGCTTAATGACGCTCAAATGCTTCCTTTTACATGGTGTTCTGTTCACTGTGCTATTCATGGATGGCCTGGCAGGCTTGGGGCAGAAATGCTACATTAACCCATTCCCCTGAGTCAGCTTTGCCAAAATCCTAGGAAAGTCAGCTTTTGACTCAGCATACAGAACTCTAATAAGAAATCTCATTCTCTTTTCTCTCCCATTCTCAGAGAACAACAACAAAACTATTTTCAAGGGATAGAGGAGTTAGGTCCCATAATGATGGGAGGAGGGAAGGAGAAGAAACACACACACAGAAAGCAAAAGTAACAGCAGCAAGGGAGAGATACAAAAAAGGTCCTCACCTCTCTTCCGGGTCCCAGGGTGCATTGTGCTGTTTAGGTATGTGACTGCACTCTTCTTACGCTTTGAGGATTGAAGAAGGAAAGGCAACTGGTTGAATAGTGTGGTAATTACTAATACTGGCACAAGCTAAAGACCAAGCACAGCATGACCGTCAACATGCTGACTAGTTAGTACTAATCATCCTAAGGTCTCAGTGCTCAAGGGTTTTATTATATGTACTTGGCTCTCACAGACTATTTCAGAGAAGTCTGCCTCTGTTGCCAATGCAGTTGTATTGAAGTCAGGATGAATTAAAATTTTAAGGTAGGAGCGTATCTGCTGAAACTTAGGAAAAAAACCTAAGGGGAAGCAGTGACTAATAAAAATGGTAAGTCAAAAAAAAAAAAAAATCCACCACTTCACAGAACTGACCAAGTACAATCAGGGTGCCGCTCTTCAGCAGGTTTTCAGAGGGGAGGCACTGACCAAATCATTAAGAAAACTGAAACAGTGAGGGAAGGGCCAAGGTACTGGCCAGTAATACCTCTGGCTCAAAGACTGCTCCGCTGTAGACCGGATTTGCTGTTGTTCTTCTTTTTCGCTCTTGTCTCTTGCTTTGGATTTCTTGAGAGAAGAAAAGGTTTTGATTAGAAGACAGGCATGGAGAACCTAAAAAACTTAACTTCATTGTTTTATCTATTGGTTTCCCCATAAGAAATCAGAAATAGGGACACCTCTCTGCCTCACCAAAGCCTCAACAGAGGCAAGCACACGATTGGAAGCAAGTATGTAGAACCATCTACTCTCCCCTGCAAGACCACGCTGTCCCACACGTGGCTCTCTGTTGAGAGTTTAACAGACAACATTTGTAAACAAGTTGTCCTGATTTATTTTTAGACTGCTGTATATACAGGTCTGAATGAGCTTTATCCCTAAGACTTAAACTGAGTAATCAAAGTTCATCATTCTTTAATTAAATAACCAGGACAGGTACAGCTTTGTAACTGTTCTCAATATTCTGATAACCCGGAGTGACCAGAATATACAGACTTGTCAGAAGAGCACTTGCTACTTTCTGCTGTTCAGAAAAAGAGCTCCCCTAAGTGAACAGAAGTCACCTTAATTTAGGCAACTGGGGAGGTTTTCCCAGGACAGTTGTGTGGATAATGACAAGAATATCAGACAGAGGGCAGGCAATTTTCCCACTAAAGGAAATAAAGTCTACACTGGCTGAATCATCCTCTATTTGTGTTCCAATTTTCTATTCTAGGAATTCAATCAGACACCATTTTCAGGAACAAAGCTGTGGGCCAGAAAAAAAGACAGTGTCAAGAATATCTTCTCTTACCTTCTAGATGGTCATGTGTTACCAACCCTAGAGACACCATGAAGGCAAGTTTCTGTGCCAGAGAAACAAAAGAAGAATATACTTCAGTCCGGGTTCTCACAAAGCCAACGGCCAGTTCCCACTAAGACACCAGGGAAAGCCAGCCAGGGGGCAGGTCACTTGAATGCACAAAGAGTAGGCATTCTCTAAGGAGCCATGGAGACCTTCTATAGCGGGGTGTCCAAGCTCTTTGCTTCCTTCAGTGAGGGCCACATTGGAAGAAGAACTGTCTTGAGCCACACATAAAATATACTAATACTAATGATAGCTGATGAACTTTAAAAAAAAAATCGCAAATAAAAATCTCATGATGTTTTAAGAAAGTTTACGAATTTGTGTGGGACCGGATATGAAGCCATCTTGGGCCACAGTTTAGATACCTTGCTCTCGAGGCTCTCTGGTTTAACAGGGCCAAAAGGGAAGGACTGGGGCCTACATCTCCTTTCTCAGTGACAGAAATCAGTATCTGTGTGATCTGAGTTCTCCACCCTGCAGAAAAATCCTCTTAAAAAGAACAGGATTTCATACTCACAAAACACGCAGAGGGTTTTAAAAAGCTTCCCATTTAACAAGCACCAAGTTCTGAGTGTTTCACTTGTCATGACTAGGCCACAGTTTCTCACATTTATACTGCCACAATGCTAACTCACAGCTAAATGATTTTTAGGAATGACGGCAGGTGGTTCTGCTGAATACTATGATTTTTCAATCACACATGAGCCTAAAAATTATGGAGCAATTTGTCTCTGAAGACCACTCTTACGGCTCCTTCAGAAGCTAAGCTGGTGAAAATGCTGGGCCCCAAAGATGCAATGCTAAGACTCTTCAAGCCAGAGAGGGCAACCGATTGATTTCTACTCTTTTCTTTGTTTGCATGTGTTCTGAAAAGAGTGTCTTCATTTTCTGTTGTACTACTGCATGCAGTTTCTAAATACGCCAAATAATACATTATCAATTTCTTTCTCTGATGAATAAAGAACACCTTCACTTGTAAAAGACATACTCCTGTAGAGTTATTTATACCACAGTTTGATCTTCTAAAGTCCTGACGTCTTATTCTTGATATTACACTACTTTGGCCTGAAGTGATAAGTTCAGTCTATTTGAAGATAAACTTCTTGAGCAAGCCACTTGAGAACACAGAAATGTCCTTTACTGGTATCTTCAGAGTCCTGAAGAAATGTTTTTCTATTACTTCTTATTTCAAAGAAACTTAGATGGGCACCTATCCCCTTCACAGCCAGATTAGTCTGGCAAGAAAAAGCAGTCTTGGACTTTCCTGTTTTTTTTTTTTTTTTTTTTTTTTAAGACAGGGTTTCACCATGTTGGTCAGGCTGGTCTTGAACTCCCGACCTCAGGTGATTCACCCGCCTTAGCCTCCAAAGTGCTTGAATTACAGGCGTGAGCCACCATGCCTGACTTTCCTGTTTTCTAAACTACGTTGAAATGAGATACACTTTATGGCTGCCAACTGATTACATTCCTAATTCTCACTATTCCTTAGAAATATAATCAAGATCAAGAGGCTTTCCCCCAGCTGTTCTCTTGATAAAGCAGTGTATAGACTGACATTCAGATTCACCCTCTTTTAAGCAAGTAACAGTACCCTTCTTAGCCACTCACACCCAAATCATCTTTGCCAGTTTAGATCAAGCTCATAAAATAATTATTAAGTGAAAAAATATTTCCTCTCTTGTGGAAAAGTTTTTGATGATAGACTAAAAAGCTGTCAAGATATTTTACCTCATATATGTATCCCACATATGCTAAGAGCTAATTTACTTTGTTTATGACTGTGATTCTGTCCAACTAGAAGGTGAAATATCTGCTACTACACATGATGGTAACTTGCTTGCCTACACTGGGTCTCACTCCGTCACCTAGGCTGGAGTGCAGTGGCACCATCTCAGCTCGCTGCAGCCTAGACTCCCGGGCTCAAGTGATCCTCCTACCTCAGCCTCCTGAGTAGCTAGGCCTACAGGCGTGCGCTACTACGTCTGGCTAATTTTGTTTATTTTTTTGCAGAGACAAAGTCTCACTGTGTTGCCCAGGCTGGATTCTTCAGTTTCCTTTGACAGGGAAATTTTGCTCAATTTTTCCTCCTCAAAGCATAATACTTGTCATTAATTCTTTGACGATTTCACAAGTTCCTCAGCAGTTTTTGTGACTAGTACTTCTTTTTGGCTCAAATTTTAGTCCTCTTTTTAATGATAAAATTAAAAATTCATTCATTTCGTATCAGAATTATATTTTGTACTTGTTTTAGGAAACCTGGAATGGCTCAATAAATTACTGCTTTAAAAAAATGACATGAAGCTTTGATGGCTTCATGCCACCATTTCACATGGTTTCATTACAAAGAATGCACTGAGGACAGAGGCAAGTGAATTACTGGTCAAATGAAATCTAACTGTCAGATATTCATCATCATATTACCTGTTTACATTTTCCATTTATAGCTGCTTAAGCCAAAACATCAAACTAAAAAAAATGTGCTTGTCTAAGGACATACAGATTGACATTCTATATTTGTATCAGGGTCTTCTTTGCTATTTATGTTTAGAATTCTATCCTAAATTGTAGTATAGATGTTACTATTTTCATCCCTACTTTTATGCTTCAATGGATTACTTCTGAGCTACTGATTCATTTGGGGTTTGGGGTTCTAATGCATATAATGGTTATACCAAAAATGTACATTTAATAACTGTAATCGATAATATAAATACACATTAGCTGAGTGAACCGGACATCTTAAAAATGTTGGCTGAGACAAACAGAACACAGTAATGATTAAGAATGTAATGGGACAGCTGGGAAAATCATCATTCATTTTAACATTCTGAATTTGTAACATGCATATAAAGAATAACAACACTTTAAAAAAAAACATTTTCTTTGATACAATCAAAATGCCTATGTGCCAGTGCATGGACCCTCAAGATCACAGTCTTAAGAATTCCACTCTAGACCAATCAGACTTGGCAATCATGTTGTTGAATAATAAAAGAGCCTAAGAAAATGAACATCAGGTTCATTTCCTCATTCAGAGAACAGGTGCCCCTCCTGGTACATGAGAATAAACTAGACACTGTAGCTGGGGCTCTGCCTTTGGAGACATAGGCCTACCTGAGGGTTCTCCTCCCGTTTTGGTTTGGGTGCAGCAGGTGGGGTGATGGTGCGGCTTTCTGTTTGTTTCTCATCTGTTTCTGTGTGAGATTTAACTGTCTAGGAGAGAAAAATTAAATCAAAATTTAGAATTTGTTTTTTATTAAAAGGATAAAACAACCAAAAGTGTAATAGTAGTAGTCAAGAAGAAAGAAGACAACATATTCAAACGTGGAACATCATTAATAAAGGAGTTAGTATTATAGATTTCATTGGGGGAAGGGAAACTAAAATGTAAAGCCCTGGTTGAGATTATTAAATTGCATGGAGTAAATATGAATCTATAAATATGTCTAAATAATGTATACAAAAAGAAAAATATGACTTAATTCCTAAGTATAAAAATGTGGTAAAAGTTGCCCTTTCTGATTTCCATGTATTTTAGGATGTGGGGGTGGTTTCCCAGAGGCAAGCCCACTGTTGTTTTTGAGATGTAGTATTGTTCTCGCTGCGCAGGCTGGATGCAGTGGCACAATCTCATTTCACTGCAACCTCCGTGTCCCAGGTTCAAACAATTCTCTTGCCTCAGCCTCCCTAGTAGCTGGAATTACAGGTGCCCGCTACCATGCCTGGCTAATTTTTATGTTTTTAGAAGACACAGGGTTTCACCATGCTGGCCAGGCTGGTCGGGAACTCCTGACCTCAGGTGATCTGCCCACCTCAGCCTCCCAAAATGCCAGGATTACAGGCGTGATCCATCACGCCTGGCCCACTGTTTTTATATTATAGGCCAAGCTCCAGCCCACAATCTGCTTAAGACCAGAATGATGTTGAAAACGTCTTGCATACACAGTCTTCTATTTCAGAACAATTACAATAATCTAGAGAGACTGCAGAACTACCCTTACATGGAATATTAAAAACCTGCCTAAATAGTCCATTAGAGGAGAGATGCAATTGCTAAGGGCGGGCCATCTTGCAAGAGGCTGACTTCCTAATTATTCCAAGCCTCTTCTTCCAGAAGCATCTACTCAAGCAGAAGAAACACCAGTTGTATTACCATCTTCAAACACAAAAGGTAGCTAGCATACTGGTAGACCAGCTTGCATTACTATTTTTGCCATGAGCCAATGGCTAATTCATTTTATGAAGCTCTCTATAAATACTGAAATAATTTTAAAACAGTAAATATAAAACTGTAGACACGAACCTAACTTAATTTTTCAAAATCAGAAAAAATGTGGACATAATGGTTCTTTCATATGGGAAATAATTAAATAAGTGAGAATGAAACTGTCTAATTACTGATGGGCAGCTTTATTCTCACTTATTTAATGAGGGGCTAAGTGAGACTTTGGTCCTACAAATGGGACATCTAAAGTTCTCAAATATTATTATGCTGGAAGTACTTTACCAGATCTGAAAAACGAACACAAGCACAAAGATTTTTCATTTTCTTTCCTGGCCACTTCCATATTTTTCATCTCCTTTTTATATGATTACATACGGAAAATGTAAGCATCTGCCTTATCAATACTGTGGTGACCACTGCTCTGGGACATAAAGGCTGTCTTGTATTTTTCCCCCAATGGGGTTCTCTCATATTTCCCCCTTTATACTAAAAGCTACTTGAAGGTGGGAACTGTTTCATGCATCTCTTGATTTCGCCCCCCTTTGAACCTAGTATGGTACTTCAAGCAGCGCAGGTGTATAGTAAAGAGCTGATTGGTCTTCTAGGTGAAGAATATGACCTAAGGAAGAATGACTCAAGTGTCTCTCTCTAAAACACACACACACACACACACACACACACACACACACACACACAGAGTTTTTAATCAAAAAGGACACATTTCCTCCATAAAACAAAACACCAATGGGAAAGTAGTTTACAGTGACATTTTAAAAGTCCTGAATGCCCAGAAAGCTTATTTTCATGTCTCTCTGAACAGGAAGGACAGATGTATGAGGGAGGAGGGAGAAGAGAAGGTCATCTATAAGGGTGTGCTGTTCCATTCCAAGGCTGTGTGAAGTTTCTTGAAGTCTCTTACTTCCGTTTCTAAGGCTGAGTAAAGCAAATTAGTGGCAATGCTTTTAGGGAAAGGCAAATCAATTCCTCTCCACTAAAGAACTGCCCATGGTTCAAATTTCTCTCTCTCATGAAAGAAAAAGTATGATTATCCCAGTGTTATATAAATAATACCAAAAGTATCCAAAAACAAAAATACAAACAAAACAATCACAACATTGGTGGTGAGGGAGGGTGTCTTTCCTTCATGGATCTCTTGCTCTGTGGGAAGCCAGTTGCCATGTTGTGAGCAGCACTTTGGAGAGGCCCAGGTGTGAGGAATGGAACCTCCAGCCAACTGCCAGTGAAGAAGTGAGGCCTGCCAACAACCATGTGCTGAGCTCAGACGTGGATTATTGAGTTGTAGGGCAACCTTAAAATTACTGCAGCTCTAGCCAACTAGTGTGACTGCAAACTTGTGAGTGACTATCAGCCAAAACCACCCAGCTAAGTTGCAGACCAGAAGGAAATGGGTTAATATATTTAGAGTGCTGAGCAAAAAAAACCCCTATCAACCAAGAATTCTATATCCTGCAAAACTATTCTTCAAAAGTGGAGAAATAAGACATTCCCAGGTAAACAAAAGCAGAGGACATTCACTGCTAGTATACCAGTCCTAAAATAAATGTTAAAAGGAGTCCCTTCAGGCTGAAATGAAAGGACACAAGACAGTAACTCGAAGCCATATAAAGAAATAAGAAGTCCAATAAAATTAACTACATGAATAAATGTAAAAGCCAGTGATATTGTATTTTTTATTTTTAACTTCTCTTTTTGTTTCCTATATGACTTAAAAGACAAATGCATAAAGTAATTATATATCTGTATTAGTGGGCACACAACGTACAGATATAATTTGTGACCATAACAACATAAAAGGGGGCAGAGCTGTGTAGAAGCAGAGCTTCTTTATCCTTTATTGTCATTAGCAAAGCTTTTATTATTTATTTATTTAGATTTAGATTTGAGGGTACAGTGCAGTTTTGTTACATGGATATGCAGCATGATGCTGAGACTGGGGCCTCAACTGAAACCTTACAAGCAGGGTTTTTAAAATTTAAGCTGGGGTTAACTCAAACTAGATTGTTAAAAATGTATGAATGTTAACTATAATCCCCATGGTAACCACTAAGAAAATAATTGTATACAGAAACAGAAATGAGGAAAGCATGAAAATGGCAAAGTAGGAAAAAAAATCACAAAGGCAGTATTAGAGGAGATAAACAAAAGACGTAAGACATACATACGTAGAGAAAACAAACAGCAAAATGGCATAAGTCCTTGCTTATCAATAATCACTTAAATATAATTGGATTAAACTCACCAATTAAAAGACAGACTGGCAGAATGAACAAAATGCATGATCTCACTATATGCTGTCTATAAGAGAGACTCATTTTAGAGCGAAAGTCACAAAAAGGTTGAAAGTAAAAGGATGTTTGTAATGAATGGCTGTACTACTATCAGACAAAAGTGACTTACAGTCAACAACTGTTACAAGAGATAAAGAAGCTCATTATATAATATATTGACAAAAGGGTCGATTCAAAAAGATATAACATTTATAATAATATATGTACCAGACAACAGAGCCCCAAAATATATAAAGAAAATACTGAAAGAATTGAGGACAGAAATAAACAGTCCTACAATAATAAATGAAGACTTCAATATCCAACTTTAAGTAATGGATAAAACTGGTGCAGAGATTAAAAAGGACATAGGGAACTTGAATAACACTATACACCAATTAGAGCTGTCAGGAATATGAAGAATACTCCATTGCACAAGAGCAGCATGCATATTTTTATCAAGTGTACATGAAACATTCTCCAGGACAGATTATATGTTAGGCCACAAAACAAATCTTAATAAATTTAGAAAGACTAGAATCACATAAAATATCTTCACCAACCACAATGGAAAGAAGCTAGAAATTAATGAGAGCAGAAAAGCTAGAAAACTCACAGTGTATGGAAATTAAACAACACACTCTTAAATAACCAATGGGAAAAAGAAGAAATCACTAGGGAAATTAGAAAATACTGTGAGAGAAATGAAAACAAGGCCACGACATACCAAAACTTATGTGATGCTGTGAAAGCAGTACTCAGAGGGAAAGTTACAGCTGCTAACAGTCTATATTAAAAAAGAAGAAAGAGCTCAAATCAATAACCTAACTTTATTCTTTAAGAAACAGAAAAAGAACTAAATTCAAAGCAAAAGAAAGAAAATAAAGACTAGGATGAAGATAAATGAAATAGAGAACAAAAGAATCAACAAAACCAAAAGGTGATTCTTTGAAAAGAATAACAAAATTGAAAAACCTGTGGTTTAGACTAAGAAAAAAAGAAGATACAAATAACTAAAATCAAAAATGAAATTGAGGATATGACATCTCACAGAATTAAAAAGGATTATAGGAGAATATACTGAACAACCATACACCAACAAGACGACATAGATGCAATGGAAAATTCCTAGAAACACATACATAACCAAAACTGACTCAAGATATAGAAAATCTTAACAGGCCCGTAACAACTAAAGAGACTCAAACAGTAATCAAAATTCTCCCCGAAAAGAAAAAGGACTGGATCAGATGGTTTTATTAGTGAATTCTACCAAACATTTAAAGAATTAGCATCAATCTGTCTCAAATTTCAAAAGATATACTCTTAATTCATTCTGTGAGGCCTGCACTACTTTGATACCAAAGCCAAAGACACCCAGGAATAGAAAATGGACCAGGCGCAGTGGCTCGTGACTGTGATCCCAGCACTCTGGGAGGCCAAGGCAGGTGGATAGCTTGAGCTCAGGGGTTCAAAACCAGCCTGGGCAACATGGCAAAACCCGGTCTCCTAAAAAATAAATACATATACAAAAATTAGCCAGGCATGGTGGTGTGCATCTGTAGTCTCAGCTACTTGGGAAGCTGAGGCAGGAGGATCACTTGAGTTGAAATTGTGCCACTGCACCCCAGTCTAGGTGACAGAGTAATATCCTGCCCTGTTTCTAAAAAAAAGAAAGAAAGAAAAGAAAAAGAAAATGA